CCTTTGAAATTTGATTCAACGGCTAAAGTTACTATAACTTTTAAAACTGAATCCTTGTTTGTAACCATTTGATAGAATTTCAAATGCCCGGATTGTATGCCTCAGTGGACTTGATGGAAAGGATCTGGAGATGATCCTTTCCCCAAAATTTTTACCTCTTCAAGAAGCAATCCGAAACAAACATAAATACCTCCTCTAAACACTATCTCGGAATTTGACATCGAATTGAAAGTTCAGTGCATGTTGAGATTGAGCTGTTCTCATCCAACATCAGAGCATCAAATTAAAACAATGCAAGCAAGAAAGCATAAACTTATCAAGCAAACAAGAAAAATGGAATTCCAAATAACGAAGGCAAATTTTCCACCTATTGAAAATAACATTGTCTCAACTTGAAGGCGGCAAAACGATGTAAACCTCCTCCATACCAAAAGAGACAATACGCAGACGAAATAAGAACAAGCATCTTAAATCCCAGTTCCACCTCTTACATCTATTTATTTACTATTACGATAACATTCAAGCATAATGGATTACTCGGGGTAGAAGAATCCCCTAGCCCATGGCATACTTCTGAGTCCAGGATCGAGCAGTGGCCTCGTACTTCTGTCTATCAGTCTTGTACATGTGCGCAATCTCAGGCACTAGAGGATCGTCGGGGTTTGGATCTGTCAGCAGGGAGCAAATGGAGAGGAGGACCTGCATGAAGAAACAATCAGTTATTATGTAAACGACAAACAATGCACACCAATATGCATTGACACCGAAAAGAATGAAGGAAGATCTAAATAACACGAGATAAGTACGTTACCTTGGAAATGGTCAGGGCAGGACTCCACTGCTCCTTGAGGATGTCAAGGCAGATGCTACCATTGCTATTGATGTTCGGATGGTAAACTTTTGTTCGGAAGGCAACCTGTTCAATGCACAAAAAGTAGCACGCTATGAGTATTATTATCACCATTTAAAACCAAAACACTACATCAATCCAATTGCATTGAAATTACAAGCCTTAAACAGATGAAATATTTTGCTGCTCTAGTTTGTATTGCACAAGGTGGATAAAATTTCTGGGGATATATACCTTGGGTGGCTTGAAAGGGTAATCAGGCGGGAAATGAATGGATACAAGAAAAACACCACCAGAAAATGGGCTGTCGCCCGGACCCATAATAGTTGCTTGCCAGTGAAACATATCATCAGCAACGGGACCTGTTGGAAAAGAAAAACTCAGTTTTAAAACATACTTAAAACAGTAATACTTTGTAAACGTCAACAGTAAAACCTTAATGCCTCTTCTCTTCTGCATTAAAACCTGGTTCTTACTCAAAAACATGGTTAAAAAAAATTACATGCAACATCCAAAATAAACAATATATCCACCAAACCAGAAGAATACAAGATAATACTGTTATCTCTAATTAAAATACCAGGCACACTCGGTCCTTCCCAGAAAAAACTATTGTGCAATTTAAATTAAAACAAACGGATGAAGGACAATGCATTAGAAACCACAACAAACAGACTCATTTTAAACGAGAGTGAGAGTTTATAAAGTACATTTAAACCAGCTGCCCAAGATACCAATCAATGCACAAAAACAACTATTTTAAAATTAGATGTACGAATCTCTTCACATTTTTCATTTCAAATATGAATTCTCTAATATCATTCTTCTCCCATGTGAATGTTCAGTGAGAGTAATCTTTTCGTATAAACTTCAAGAATCAAAAGCAACAACACAAAATGATATCCAGGAAAAGATGAATACTTGAACAACTGGTAACTGAATTTCACATATACAAAACACCAACTGACCCGAATATGACATATCAAAAGAAACATTTAAAAATACATGAGAATAGAACAAAATACCTGCACTGCAAGAAGCAGGCGGGTCTTTCTGAAGGTCCTTCAACTCCTTGTTGATCCGCTTCGAAGCCATCACAAAACACTACAACAATGTGCTGCAAGGTTAAACACAATAACGGTCAAAACAAATACTACATATGCCATCTGATTGAGTTGCAGTGTCGCACAACCGAAAGTGAAACGCATAGAACAAACGGGAGTTTCTGTGCCAACATCAATACTCCGATTAAAAGTAAAAGGCTCAAGAAACAGTAAAGAGTCCATTACCGTGTAAAATCAACACACCCACCACCAACCACCTGATACATACAAATTCAACACTACAAGTGCCCCTTTCTCCTAAATCGAATCGGGTGGATACAAAATTAAAAATAAACTCACAATTTCACATCGAAATCTTGCTTTATCTCGGTAATAGTATCAACCAGCAAACCCTAGGATTCAGAATTCTAAAACTCGAAAAGCAAAGCATTTTGGAAACCAAAAAAACCCACAACTAGTAACCAAAGGCATCACGACGATCTAATCCGCAAACGAGAAAAGCCAAATCCCTCAAACTACACTTCAATCAATTCATTGCACGAAAAGGAAAACAGAACCATCGTTTCAAAAGGAAATTCAAACAAAATTCGAAACAAACATCAATCAAACGATCACTAAGAACCCCAAAAATATGAAATTTCGCATACAATCGTTCGATAAATCAACAATCCGAAACAATTGAAGAGAAAAAAAAGCATAAGAAATCGATAAATCGAAGAGGCGATAGGCTCACCGGCGATTAGGCTAGGGTTTTCTGGTTGGGTTTGGGGAGCTTCCGCTTCTAGAGGGATAAAGAAGAGAGAGAGAGAGAGAGAGAGAGAGACGCAGGAATGGGTTTGGGCTAGAAGGGTCCCTCGTATATATAGTAGGACTGCAGAGTGTGCGGATGTTCGTATGAACTCGAATTTTGATTTGTGGCCGTGACTCTTCCGGCCACGAACTTTTTATTTATTATTTTTTTTTTTGTTGGATATTTTTTAAGGAATTTTAACGAAAAATCATATTTCTATACTTAAAATTCAATTCAGGTACTATTCATTTTACCCTTTATTTTATCATTATCGTTAAAACTCAAAGTCTTCAAACATTTTTCATTAGTTTTCCTTATTTTTTATTGTCTTACTTTACATAAAAATCCAACATAATCTATTCAAAAAAGGAAAAGGAATATTTTCTCCTTAGCCTGGAGTAATTTTTCGGTGTACCCTCACTCATAATGGTGAGGGTACACCAAAAAAATTTGGTGCACCCTCACTTTTTGTTCACCAAAAAAAATCTAATGAGTGAGGGTACACCAAAAAAATTTGGTGTACCCGGTACACCTAAAAATTTTCCCTTAGCCTGCCACCGTCAAAAAAAGTGAGAGTAATACAAAAATGCTCAGTTCATGTAAGGATTACGATTTTACAAAGGATCAAAAAATTTTGAGTGTAATCCAATATATGACACTCATGGGACGAGAATAAGACATATACACACCTGGCTCATTTGTATTCATTGGTTTTTTTTTTTTAATTCAATTCAATAACTAGAAAATCGATAAAAGTGAGTAGAGCAAGAATAAGCGTGCAAAAATCAATTCCCACACCACAAAACCTACGCAAATGTTATATTGTGTAAAATGTGTTACATTATTTAGTGCCCAATTTTATTGCACGCATTTAGTTTACATAAATTTTTTTATTTTATAAAAAAGTGGAATAAAAAAAAAAGTAAAATTGTAAGTTATTTAGATTTAGTAATTTGGCTCAATATTTGCATTTAACCACAAAATTAATGGAAATAAATGTTGGATAATATTGAGTAGTAGTATAATTAGGCTTATGCATATCCATAAGGGCATATGCGTGCGCCTTAATTTTTTTATTTATTTCCTATTTATGTTAAACATTAATTAAACTTGTTTTTATTCTTCACGAAAATAAATTAAAGTAAAATAATAGAGAAAATATTGTATTTTTCTTACATAATTTTACTTTCGTTTTTGTGGGTCCAGTGGTTCGGCTGGTATCAACCCAACCCTTCTATGATAAGGGCCTGATTCAGACCCAATAATGTGGGCCAGGCAATATGTGGACTCAAACATACTCCTCAACACTCTTCTTCTTCTCCTGTTTTTTCGGTTTTCTAGTCCACATTAAAAGTGCAATTTAAGTTATATATCTGAATAAGAATCGTTAGATCATTTAATTCAGCGGAATTTAACGGATTTAAAGGCACAAGACATTTGAATCAAAGCCGTTAGATCATTTAACCTAACTGGATTTAATGGATTGACTTAAAGTCTGAGATCACGTGTTATGTGACTGATAACGACATGTCCTACAATTTACTGGTAAGAAGGCCTTGGATTCAGGGGAACTTTGTTGTTCATGTATTTAATATTATCTAATAGAATATATTATATTGAATGGTTTTTATTTTTTAATCTCAATTTTTTTGTCGTGTTATAGTAAAATGTCAGCGAAGGTGGCACGTGTTGGAAATTTTGAAGTCGATTTGGGATGGATGGATGGATGGAGAGGGACAAGAATACGTGTTGGGTAGACCACAAGTATTGGTTCAGAAGCCGAAAGCCGAAAGCCGAAAGCCAACCCCATCCCACTAACAAACCCAAAACATTATTTCCACCGTTCTGATTCATGGGCCATTCTCTTTCTGCTTATTTGTTAAGTGCTTGTTTCTGCTTATTTGGTTTGTGATCAATTTCTGGGTCCTTCTTGATTTGCCCATCTGGGAGGCTCTCATCGTGTCAAAGTTTCAAGCTTTTTGTTTCTGTAAAAGCTACCTGGGAATTTTCTGGTGTGTCCCCCAAAGTTTCAATCTTTTCATTTTCCCTCGATTACTTTTTATCTTTTTGCTAGTTTTGTTGAATAATGTTAAATTAGTTTGTTTTGTGTTCATTTGGGATCACTTGGGAGTGAAAATTTGTGATATAAATCAACAATTCAATCCATTAGTTGTATGTTTTTATGTGTTTTCTTATTTTTTTCCAGATATATGTTTTCACATGACGGCACACAGTGGCGTTCTAAGTTTCATATACCCGACCACTTAGCGAGAGAAAGGTAGGTTGTTGTATCTTTTTTTGTACGGAGAATCAATGTATGCATGCCATATAGGAGGACTGTGTTGAAGAACGTAAAATCACCTGTCGGAAATTTGACAAAATAAAATACAGTATATAAGGAATGCTCCGCTACGAATAGCACTGATGGATTTTGCGATCGAACACCACGGGATTTTCCGTGGTGTTAGATGGTTTCTGGGGTGATGCATGATTTGGGGCATCGCTTTGATCTCATTCGAAGTATTTTGATGTGTCTCTGATGCAGTTTTACGGTGTTACTCATCTGTTTATTCGGTTTGTTTGATTGGATTGTTTACGTGTATCGCTTCATAGTTTGCTCCATCGTTTTTGTTTGAATGTCAGCTGCTGAAGTTTTTGTTTACTTAACCGATCAGGTAGGCTAGTTACATCCAGAACTGAATCCCGATTTGTCTTGGTGATTGACAATGGGTGGCGTAGTGGGAAAGAGCGAAAGTTCTAGGAAGTTTTCGATACATGAAACGAAGCTAGAGGCGAAGATGGTTGAAGCTATGCAGCGCAGAGCAGCGAAGGGAAGTGTTATGAAATCGTTTAACAGCCTCATCTTGAAGTTCCCAAAGATCGACGAGAGCTTAAGAAATTGCAAGGCTATTTTCGAGCAATTTGGTATGCATCGTATCCTGTTCAATTCTGTTCTAAATTTGTACTTTCCATGTGTATTTAGTCTGTAACTCGTGTACTTTTTTCTTCTCGACAGATGAGGATTCGAATGGTATGATCGATCAAGAAGAGATGAAAAAATGTTTCTCTAAACTGGAAGTCTCTTTTACAGACGAGGAGATCATTGATCTCTTTGAGGCATGCGATATTAACGAGGATATGGGAATCAAGTTTAACGAGTTCATCGTTCTTATTTGCCTCGTTCATCTTCTTAAGGATGACAACAAAGCCGTTCACACTGTATCCAAACACACATACTTGGTTCTGTGTATTTTTCTTAAGCTTCCTTTTTTTGTGTTCTTTTTCTTCTTCTCTTTGTGCTCCGTGACTTTTGCTAGAAATTGCAACTGGGGATGCCGGAACTGGAGGCCACGTTTGAAACACTGGTAGACGCGTTTGTGTTCTTGGACAAGAACAAGGATGGTTATGTCAGCAAGAGTGAAATGGTCGAGGCCATCAACGAAACTACAACAGGAGAACGTTCCTCCGGCCGCATAGCCATGAAAAGATTTGGTCATCCTCTCTCTTTCTACCCGCATTCTTACACACAAACAATCCAATACAAGCATACACATTAAACCCTATCTTGTGAAGGATTTTTATTCCTTGAATTAGAAGGCATTGTTTCTTTGCTACCTACAGATCATTTGTGTTCATCTGTGTGCATTGGCGTGGACGTTTTGCTTATGGTTTCATTTGTTCGTGTCTCCGATTGTGGATTCTTAGGAACTAGTTCATTAAGTTAAATGTCCTGAAGTTAGAGGGTAGGGAAAATATATTTTCTAAATCTGTTAACTTTTCCATTGTTGCAGAAGAGATGGACTGGGATAAAAACGGAATGGTGAACTTCAAGGAGTTTCTGTTTGCGTTTACTCGATGGATTGGAATCGACGATCTTGAGGACGAGGATGAAGACTGAACGAGAGGTAGAGGGTTCGATAACTTTAACAGTGCCCTAGTTGATACAGAGCATGTAAAATGTTACGATGAGTCCTTCATTTAGATGACCATGTAAATAATTTGAAATGCAGACTTTTTAAAATTCTCGTCGTCGACAATTCATATTTCACTTTATAGTATGTTGTGTGTGGATTTTCCTGTACCTGTTTGTATGTTATGAGAAGATTCACAGCGATTTTGTTCGTTCATCGACTTCGAACTGCAGCAAAATCTGTTGTGTGTGGATTTTCCCGTACCTTTTTGTATGTTATAAGAAGATTCACAGCGATTTTGCTCGTTCATCGACTTCGAACTGCAGCAAAGTCTCTCAAAATCCTCAACCTCTGGATCTCTCAGGCCGGATCTGGCGGATTGAAAATTTTACCTTAACCTTAGTAGCTCATTTCACTGGTTCATTTCACACAAACCAAGTGTCCGGATCCTCTCTCTTTTCCTCTCTTGAATGGTCTGAATTATTCGGTCCATCGACTTCAAACAACAAGATCCGAAGAGGATCTGAATTCCTCAACCATTTAACATTTCTCGACGACTGCCATAAAATCTTGACTTCTTAACCATTTGTGCCACAAAGCATTCTAATCATTTGTGCCAGAGTGTTCCACAGTTCTATGTTGTACATCGTCTTCAAGCCAACGATATTATCTACATTAAAAAAGAAAAGATGAGTTAACCTCACAATAGGCTAATTTGTACCACATTATTTATTGCTAGCCCATTATGAGATTTAACCCAACCCTCCCTTTAGTGTAAATTATACCGTTTGCTCAAAAATCATCACTGAAAACTACAAGAAATGTTGCTGTTGGTGCAAGAAGCATCAAGTAAATGAGAAACTACTTTTTCATAGAACAAAACAAAGAACGCTTAAAATAAATCCAAATGCAATCTAGACAGTGCAACATCACTCGAATTTTCGCCTCGCTTCGCTAATCGCTATTCGTATACACACCATACCATAAATTGCTCACAGAACCCCAAGACGGTAGCAAAACTGTCATGACACGCTTACTATAGTACAAGGACAGGCTTAGAGAGCTAATGCTCCGACCAAACTTCTAACGCAATATATAAATAGCAAACCCCCCCAAATCAAACTGTCCTTCTTTTCCTATGCGATACGCCAACCCTCCTCCTGACCAGTAGCCACACACACTTTGATATGGAAACAAGTTAGAACTGGCACACAAGGGGTGTTTGCCAGTGCCCCGATGGTAGTTGGAGGATTGGCTGACACAGCAACACGTGTGGCGTGGAAACCGCTGTTTACTGGCAGAAACTAACAAAACAAGCTCCAAGAGTGTGGATCTATTACCCCCTGGTCTTGGCCCTCTTCATACCAAGACTGTTGCGGAAGGGTGACAACGAACCGGACATTGGAGAACCCTCTTCACGAAGTGTGCCATTCAGCATTGCCAACTCTCGCAGCTGCTGTTTCTTGTAGAAATCCTGAGATTCATCCTTAAAAAGATACAGAAATCGTTCCCAGAAATAGTCAAGAGATTGTATTTGAAAACAAGATTAACAAATTTACAAGAGAGGTGATTGGAAAAACTTAAAATCAGAGAAGAGAACATACCACAGGCCTGAGCAAATCTTCAAGTACCTCACGTGCTTGTAATAAACGAGCATCAATAATTTCAACTGGTAGTTCTGCCTCCACTAGAATATGAAGAGGTTCGTTCAGATGTTCATACCCTGGTTTTCCTCTCATCATTTCTTCCTTTAGAACAAAATATGACAGTGGACTAACATTAGATTGACACAATTTGAACTAAAAGTAACGGAAACTGAATTTATTTACAGCATAGTGTAACAAATATTCGTTCAGAATTTCTTTGAATGCATGAATGCCGGATCAATTCCACAAATAAAATAAGCATAGATGCATTAACATATTAAGAATAAACTCATTATTACCCTAGTTGGATCCTTTATGCTACCACGTCCCCTGATCAGAACACGACATTCAGTAGTTGCTTCCACCCGCTTAAGAGAGTTTCCCCTAGGGCCTAGCAACCGCCCAACAAAGTTAAACTGCAACAAGGATTTGATGTCAGACAAACATAGAAAAGTACAAAGAAAAATTAACAGAACTTAGTAATTCATCCCTACATTAGGATATTTGTCAACTGGAATATCAACCCGGATTGTTCGCTTCACAATCAGACCAGATGAACTACTCTGAGAACTCAGCCAGTTTTGGGTTGATGAAGGCTGTAATAAACCTGACATCTGAACAGTATAATCCAAGAACGTTAAAACCTAAAATAACATAGTAATGTTATTCATGATCATATGTATTCTGCTCTACAGATAAGATATTGGTCTTTGAAGAACCTTCAAGATCCAAATAAATTCATTACGCATGCTTTGAACAATGTTATGAATAATAAAGCAGAGAAATAACTAAGTAGAAAAACATGTAGACCTTAGAAGATACAATGGAACTCAGAAAATTGCCCGACTATTGCCTGTAGAGACCAATGCATTTCAAGGACTAAAAAATGAATACAACAACAAAATAATACCATTCTACAATCCCCTTGCAAATAAAGGCATCTGGTAGGTGCAATATTTCAAACAATATCAACAAAGACCAAAAACTTGCAAACTCGATTAACAAGCACAACCAAAGGGTCAGTACACTAAACAAGAAAATTAGGACATCTCCAATAGATTGTAAACGACTTTCAGTACTCTGCATTAGGATTATGAATTGCATCTTTATGCCAAACGTAAAATTTGAGAATATGTCACAAAATCAAATTAAGTTCGTCTTGACAAAAGACACAGAATAAACAGAGAACCATCTTAATTGAAGTAGGATTCCAGAAGCAAAGCTAATTAGTAGTCTCTTGCTTGTTGATGTTAGCTTCAGACTACCTGTCTCAAAAGTGGCAATATAAATTGCAGCACCTAAACAGATGTTAAAGGTTAGCATGAGATGTAAAAGATCGTGTCAGCAATGCTTCTAAAAAACAGTAAATTAGATGGAAAACAATGTTATGTTAAGTTAATAAGTTAATGGTTAGTATCCGTACTTCTGATTGAAACCGTGATGCCCATCCGTTCACATCAGCACCTCCATTTGGAAACATTCCTCTAGATGCCAGGGGGCTAGCATGTTCAAGCCCATTTTGACCTAAAACTGACGCATTCCCCAACAGTGTAGTTACACGCAATATTTCTGCTCCAAAAATGTCAATTTTCAAGAATAAGATGTACCAGTTAGCATTTGTTATAAGGTTAGCGGTCACCACAAAATGGAGAGACAACACCGATTTTTTCCTGAGTCAGTTAAAATCAATGCTTCCCCCAAGTAATAAAATTAACTTTAAAAGAGTGTACACCACCATTAAAGTAATGAGAAGTTAATAAAGAAAACAAGCTTATCATTTGTAAGATAGCTATGAACACCATCACTCATCCTTAAAATTTAGTTAATACAAACACTTAGTTAATACAAACTACAGAAGCCGGAAACAAATAAATGAGAACCCAAGTTATTAGAAGCATGAAACACCAAGAGAGGATACACATCCACCAAACACCACCAGTAGGCTGAGACGATATCACCAAACCACTTAAACCTGAGAAATCAATGTCAATATTACCAATTAACAACAATAAGCAGAAACTTGGACTCCTCTCCGAGACACAGGAAAAAAAGAAACCCAGAAAGAAGTACACATGAAGTACTCCCAAACACAACAAAAACTTATGGATCAAGCTATGTCCTCGGCTAGGAACTTGGCATCTAAATTTGGTAGTACTGAATCCTAAGATAGAGTCTGATAGACTATGGGCCAAAAATCTATACTTGAAAAGGGCTCATACCTTTTGGTTGGGACAGGTGGCTTTGTAGTCTTTAGGTATCTGAAAAGGAAGGCCCCACTATAAATATTTAATGAACATGGAACATTATCAGTTTCACTTTATATAGAAGGGCCAGGTTTATTATATTGTTATCCTCTAATTAATGTAAAAACACCCAAAACCTGTTATGTTAGCATTTTCCCACTGGTAAAGACAAGATTTTGGTTTGTCCTCCTTTTTGGGTCTAAGAAAATGAGACTATCCCTCATCTTGAACTAAAAGACAAGATCTGCAAAGGTTTACCAAGTACTAAAAGGAGAGCTCCAAGTCAGACTAAACAAGGCAACCTATATCCCACCTCTGCCGTATGTAAAAAACCTTGGAGCCAAAAGAGATACAATACAATGAAAAGCATTCCATATCGCTAATCATTGTAATCGAATTATTTTTGGCTTCATATGCAAAGCAGTTGCTTGTGATATGTGCACCACCTCAATACTTTTCAACCCTTGTGAATTTGATTTGGAACAGGCATTTCAAACTAATCAAGCAAGTTATCTTTTCAAGAGTTCTATCCCACTCATGCAATACAATGTCAACCCAAGCCAGATGATATCACAACACAATTAGTCCCAAGCTAACTTTAACAAATTTGACTACCAGGACAGGCCCATTAACATCTATAAGGCCTTAGCGTGTATCACCAAGTTAAACTAATAACACATCTATTAAGCGGGTTATCAAGTGTTTTGTTCATGTTAGGTTTATAGGGTGTCCCTACAACCTGCAAAGTTATCCGAATCGTGTGAAGTGAATTGTGATTCGGATCAAGCAGTTACTGAAGCAGTCTCCACATCTATACATTCGCTTATATACCAATAAAATAAGTTCTCGTAAACAAAGACAAACTTGAAAACTGACCTTGGTTTAGTAACCTGTTGCAATGCGGCAGCACAGGCAAAAATGGACTCAGCTTGAGACGCTCCCCAAGCAGCTCAGATACATATCTGCAATATATATATACACACACACACACACACACACACAATAAAACGATATCGATTAGGGTTCATACAAGATCAAGACATCAAATTACGGTTTCTTATCGAAGAGAAATCAGGAAATCGTGAACAGATCTAAAGAGGCATACTTTTCTTGCTCGGCGGCAACGAGAGCAGCGGAGGAGGAGGCGGAGCGAAGGCCGGAGAGGTGAGGGGAGTGAGGTGCCGACGGTGACGGCGAGTACGCCATGTACCTTCCACCGCCCGATGATGACGTCATTTCCATAGCGACTCTCAGCCGTCCGATCGTCTCCTCCTTCTTCTGGTCGTCTGAGGGATCTCTCTGTGTGCGTAGGTCAGAGGCTGGCCGGCGACACGATCGCGATTCCCGACCAGACGCTCTCTCCCTCTCTGAAGATCTCTCTCTCTCTGAAATCTCTTTCAGTCCAGGTCTACAAGCGTCGGTGGATTTTCATTTATACTGCAACTGATTGTTTTACCTTTTACCTTTTCCCTTGTATCGTCGCCGCTACTACTAGTGTAGTACACAGTAACTTTCTTTCTTTTGGTAAGTAAAGTGATAAATTGAGTTGAAATTCTCTCCGAAATTTTGTCTGGAACCGACGAACTTGGAGATTCGGATCATGTTTTTTAAATCATGTGGTTTCCGTTAATTCATTTTGATGGCTCATTTTACACAAATTAAGAATCTTGATCTCTCTTTCACTCCCTTCGACAGCTCCAATTCATGGATCATTGGGCTCCAAGAGATCTAGAGAAGATCTCGACTCATAATTCAACTACCTAAGTATGATTTCCAAAAAATGAAAATAAAAATTACCTAAATATGATTTACACTTGATGCTTGATCACGTCTAATTGAAAATAAAAAAAATAGTGGTGGGATACAGACACACAGCATATCATTTCACATTTTCAAATACGAAAAAAAGACGCAATTATATTTTTTAGGCCGTCATGACTAAACATGAACTCATATCAATATACGTGAACTTATTTTATGTACTAAATATTTAATTTATATGGTTTGTCTAGGTAAGTTTGAGATCCCTTTTATGTAATGTTATATAGACTAAATTTTTAGATAAAATTCGCAAATTGTATGACTTGTTGCCACCAACTGAAAATAAGCGGGGAGAAAGAGGTTCGAAATTATTACAATAACTTAAAGGAAAGAGAGTTTCGATTCTCGAGATGCATGAGTAAAAACTTAACATCATATCCATTGAAAAATTAGACCAATAAAATTTCTTGATGACTTTATCATTTTTAATTAAAAAAATTATTGTACGGTTGTAGAAATTGGTCACATGCAACTCTAAAGTGTTATCCACTAGTATTATTACACGAACTCATATACCATACACATTTCGCTATCACATAACATGAATTCCGATATTTTTTACCAATCAATGATTCAAAGCCGCTCTTTGACGTATCACTGATGTTTATTATCAAAGAAATACATCACCCTTAGTATAGATCATATTGTTTGTTGGAAAAAAATTTTAAAAAAAAAACACTAGGGTAATATAATACTATGGAGTGAGCGGTTGGCAGCAAATGGACTGTCATGTCTCAACCATGAAAATATGAAACCTTGAGGTGGCCACGTGTACCAATTCAATCCCACATTTTATTGCCATTTCAACATATTATATATACGGTCCATCAATTCTATAATATTTCTGTCTCCTAAGGCAATGACTTTTCAAGTTTTCGATATTACTAGCCTTCATGCACGCGCGTGAGCGCATGCAAAAAATATTTTTTCAATCACGGTGTAGTACATATAATTTACATATTTTAAATGTATCTAGCGTAAATTGATAAAAGGAAAGTCAAATATTTGAAGTATATGAATAATCTTATATCATGCTAAAAGAAAGCTCTGATAAACTAATTAAAGTAGCAGAATTCACATAATAAAATCAATATCTATAGAATTTACATTAACAATAGAGAAAATAATATTTAATAAATAATTGATTAAATCACATTATTACTAGCCTATTGTGAGGCTAAGCTCACACTCTCCCTCTTAGTGTAGATAATATCGTTTATTAAAAAAAAAATTATTTGACAACTAATTTAATCACATTATTATCAGCGTGCAAAAAACCTTTTTTTATAACCTGCATCACACGCCTCTTAAGTTTTGAATGTGTTTAAAAATAGAGAAAATAATATTTAATAAACAACTGATTGAATCACATTATTGTTCACCCATTGTGAGGGCTAAGGCCACCCCCTCCCCTTTAGTGTAGATAATATCGTTTGTTAAAAAAAAAATTCATTTGACAACTAATTTAATCACATTATTATCCACATGCGAAAGACCTTTTTTATAACCAACATTACATGTCTTTTAAAATGTTCTAAACATGTTTAAAAATAGAGAAATTGAATCAAATTATTACTAGCTTATTGTGAGACACTAATTTTTTTTCAAAAAAAAAAAAAGCACAAAAAAATTTAATTATTAAAAAAATATTGTTAAAATGACGAAAATGCCCCTACCTTGTTTGATGCATTATTTTGAGATGCCTTTGAAGTTTTTTATCTTGGGGGCATTTTTGTCCAAATATTTTGTTGAAGTTTGGTGACACTAAAATCACTATTCACCTTCCATTGACTTTATATATAGATTACAATTATGTTGACTAAAAAGCAAAATTATATGCATTTATAGCATCCAATATTGCTATTTTTTAAGGGAAAAAAACTCAAAAAGTATATTTTATAAGGAGGTTCGCTTTGACTAATTTATCAAGATTAGGGCGCTAGTCTTTTCTTAATGCGCCATTCAATTTTATTATGCGAAATCATGATATTTTGCGTCGAAGTTTCACTTTGGTATTTAATAGTTTGGGCAATTTAGGAGTGTATTTGGTGTGTTATGTAATTGACGTATGTCATTAAAGTTTAGGGAAAATTTATAGGACCGCCAATAATGCCAACAATGCTTTATGGTATAGAATATTGAGCGATAAAGCATTCATATGTAAAAAATGAGTGCAACAAAGATCAAAATGCTTTGTTTGATGTGTGTCTACACAAGATATGACAAGATTAAGAATGATGATACTAAGTTGAGCGGGAGTCGCTGCAACTGAAAATAAAATGAGAGAAAATAAGTTAAAGTGGCTTGGACATGTAAACCAAAAATATATAGATAATTTAGTTAGAAGATATGATTATGTGACAAAGGCTTATGACAAAACGCATAGAGAAAGACATATGAAGACTTGAAGAGACTCTAAAAAAGATATAGAGTAATTGAAGTTAACAAAAGACTTCGCGCAAAACCGAGCACAGTAACGTTCTAGATTCATCGGTCGATGTCACTTAACTTAATAGAATAAAGCTTTGTTTGTTGTTGTTATAAAATAATTTAGTCAAAGACTTAAATCTTGACAATTGAAACTACAGTAACTAGAGAATAACTTTGCCCAAATGATACGAAACAAAATCATGGTTTAGCCATCCTAATATGCTTATGCCTTAAAGCATTTGATCTTCATCACCATACGAAAGAGCTATTGCAATAACCCTTTTCCTCCCGATTTTCGTAAAACGAGAAATCTTGTTAGCTTGGAATTATCTTTTTATTATCCGCCGAATAGCCAAAAAGGGTCGGATCAATCGTCGGCCATATCCGGATCCGGGAAAGTTCCAAGAACACCGGGCAAGCCTAATAATAATAAGGAAAAAAACAATTAAAATTAAGGATGTGATATCCACATATCCCTTTTTACTTCTTACATACTTTTTTAATTTTTAGACGTTGAATCGGATGAATTGACAAAGATAAAGAGACAGGAATCAACGTGTGTGAAAAGTAAAAAAAAATGTGTGAATAGCACATCCCGTAAAATTATTTATGCATAATCACTCACGTACTCGTAAACCAAACAGTAACATGCAAATCAATGGCACAAACAAACCTACCTTCAAACTTACGTGCCGTCAGCTCATCAATCTTACAAAAAAAACCGGAGCTCCAGCCGTAATACACCTTATATATCTTCTTCTTTGCTACTTCCAGACTGCCACATCACAAGAAGAAGCAACAAAAGCAGGGATACAAAACAAAATTAACCAATCAATTACAAACAAATCATCATCAAACCATCAAGAATAATAGCTAAAAATCTCATAAACATTACATACGAGTAACGAAGTCGGAAATTGTCAAAGAAGGCGTGAAATTTTAAAAAGTAAAAGCCAAAAAGTTTAGACAATCAAATATATTTAGATGTTACATAATATTAATATCTTTTATAATTGATTAAGTTAGAATTGTTAGCGACGAAGTTCGCATTATAAATTATCAATGAAAACAAAAATATTTTTTTTCAATGTAAACAACCATGGTATTCTCCTATTTGACATTCATAGCAGAAAACGTTGCCATTTTCAAAATACTTTTCCAACGTTTTCCTAGCAACCAAACAAGAAATATCAAGGAACCCATTACGTACGTACCTCACACCAACGACTTTAACCAGGGTCTCTGCATAGTAATCGATTGGATCACACTCAACGCCGGGCTTCTCCATGACGATCCACCAGTAATCCCAACCTTGGAGGATCAATTCCATCTCTTCTGGTGGACGGCCAAATTTCGAACATGATTTGACCCCGCAACAGATCGGAGTGTACCTGGTGGTGGCCGTAGGGAATCGGACATCGTGGGTGGGCGGGGCGAGGGATCGGCGGCCCAGCATGAGGGATGGGATGGAGGGAGGGTTGGCAAGTTTGGATGTCAAGAAGAGGCGTTTGGGTATGAGGAGAGAGATTGTGAGGTGGCGAGATGTTGCGGTGGTGGCGGCGGTGGCGGCTGCGGCGGCCACGGCAATTGCTCGGACTAGGGTTTGAACCATTTTTGGGGAAATCAGGAGGCCTGAGAGAGTAAACTAAAGGAAATTCGATGAGGGTTTAGTGTGGGGACAAGGGTAACGTGGTATTTACCCTTGAGATTAGGAAACTTATTTACATTTTTTGAATAATCGAAGCATGCTTTCCTTCAAACCCGAATCGTTCGATGGGAAGAGCAGTTAAAACTAGGGGTGGTTTTGGTTCATTACCGTACCAAAATCTTTATACCAATTATCATACTAAATATTTGGTACGGTAAAATTTAGTATCATTACCGTACCAAATTTTCGGTATATCGAATATCGGTATACTAAATAGTTTGATTGGTATGGTATGTCAATGGTAATTGTCACTTTATTTTACGCCACTTAATTTGCCTAAAATCTAATATTTTTTAATTAATGTAGAAGTGTAAAAAATATATAAACGCTCGTAATGACAAGTTTTACAACTTTCATGAAGAGCTTAACTTTGAAATTCGCCATTATAATCATATAAATCATATATTAAAATTTAACCGCTCATTATTGTTTACATTTACGCTTCATTTTTCTCATCAAATTTTGTTTTTTTTCGGATTTTCTTTTTTGAAAACATGATCTATTAGAGGATACAAGAAGGTAAACGGTTTGGATCGTTGATATTATGTTAGAGTTTTACCGTTAGTGAAAATATTGTTTGATGTTTATAAAGTTTCTACAAACTATATGACATCGACTCATATTTCAGTTAACCATCAATATCGAAACATGATATCAAAGATTTGAGCCGTTAATCTTCTTACATTCGCGCAGATGATCATGTTTTCAAAAAAGAAAATTTTAAAAATGAAATTCAGTAAGAAGAATAAAGCGTAAATGACAATCAACGGTTAAATATAAATTTAAGGTTTATGGATTATAGTGTTGGATTTTGAAGCTGACCTCTTCATAAAAGTTGTAAAGCTTGTCACTATGAATGATTATATATTATTTTTTTGCATTTTTTACAATTATACAATAATTATTATTAATTATATTAATTTTTCACACAAATAATTATATGAATAAATACATAATATAATAATAATAATAATAATATTGGTATGTACGGTATACCACCGGTACTATTTTGGGTACCAGTACCATACCGAAACAGTATGGTACGGTACAAATACCATACCATTACCAATTGGTACAAATTTTTGGTAATAATTTGGTATGGTATGGTTGGTAGAGCGGTTGGTACAGTAATTTAGTAAAACTTTCCACCCCTAGTTAAAACCCACAATATACAAGTCACAACAACCAGACATTTAATACTGCAATTTAGTGGTGCTCTTCTTCATTTGCAAGTGAAAGGTTTTAGGTTCGATTATTGCCAAAAATAAATTTGAATTATATTATTATGGTTAGCCCATTATGAGAATTAGCATACTCTCCCGCCCCTTATACCATCTCCAACCCTTAAAATAAAGAAATATTATAAAATTATCTAAAAGACTCTTCGGCCATTTCTAACATAGTCGGCCAAAGAGTTATAGGTCAAAACATAAACTGTTTTGACACAAAATCCATCTCTAAGACCATCTCCAACCCTTGGTCTAAAACCTAAAATTTTTAGCCCATAAAATTTAGGTTTTAACTCAGAACAACTTTTCTACTCCAACCCTTCTAGCCTAAAATTTTAGTCTCAGATTATTAAAGAATGAATTTAGACTATTTTTTTTCTTAAACTTTTTTTTAAAAGAAAAAATTATGTAGACTATCCTAATTTAATTTTATGAACATTTTAACCTACAAATATTTAGACTCTGACAAATATTGAAAAATCACTAACCGACACCATGAAACTCGTTAAACACTATGAAAAATATGAAACAAATAAGAGATTTTTTTTAATTACTTTAGCCGTTAGATTAAAATTTGGACCTTTAAAATTATTATTTTTTTACCGTTGAATTTTATCAAATTAGATTTTAACCGTTGGATTCAATGAATTTATAAATATAAAATTAAATAAAATATACATATATGGTGGGTCAACCCCACTAATCCTAGGCTAAATTTGGCTTCTATTTGAGTTTTAGGTTTTAGGCCACATTTTAGCCTTGGGTTGGGTTGGTTTTTTTTGGGGGGGGGGGGGGGGGGGGGAGTAGAAGTGGAAATTTGAGTTTTAGCTCAGAGTTGGAAAAGGCCTAAGACCTTCTCCAACAATGACCTAAAACCTAAAATTTCCCCTCCCTCTCCCACCCCCCCCCAACAAAAAAAAAATCCACTCTAACCCATGATCTAAAATTAACCTAAAACCTAAAACTAATTTTAAGCCACAAAGCAAAATGGGTCCCACCAATTGAGACAGAAACAGGGATGGTGAAGCCCACTGGCCAGCTTTCAATCGCCCACACAGCAAACTCAACCTTGCATGCGCCAGAGAGAGAGATAAGCCAGGCCCACCCACATGGAGTTGTCCCCCAGGTGTCAGCCAATTATGTAGCCCAACGACTACTTTTTTCAATCCAACGGCTGGATTTAAATGGGCCGTTGGTTAATCCAACGGTCCAAGTTCAAATTATTATTTTTTTAGTTTTATATTTATATATTTATTGAATCCAACGACTTAGATCAAATATAATCAAATCTAACGGTCGAAATTTAAATCCAAAGGCTAAAATAATTTAAAACAATTATTTAACTTAAAATTCAACCAAAAACTCTATAAATACCTATGTATTTGTTCAAATATCCACACAAAACTCACTTTTCTCCTACAATTCTTCCAATTTTTCTTTCTACCATTTATTCTCATTTCCAAATTTTTCAAGATGGCAAAAGAGCATGTTAAAGGTCATAATCGGACATTTGACGAAGATATTGCTTTATGTTTGGCATAGATTTCTGTTAGTGAAGATGGTGCCATCGGCACAAACCAAAATAGAAAGGTTTTGTGAGGTAAAATCGTTGATAAGTTCCATGAAAACTCCAACGCCGGTCGAAGGGAAATTGGTGGTGTTTATGATCGGTGGAAGATTATCAATAAAGTGTGCACTTTGTGGAAGGGAAGTTTGGAGAGAGCCATGGTTGACATGCCTCGTGGAAGGGGCGCCTCAGAAATTACGAGTTTATTTGTTGATATTTTAGTTGTCATGTACATAATAGTATTTTGCAACTAATTGCTTTTATGTATTTGTTGCATAGGATGACAAAGCAATAACAATTTGTAAGACAAAAACTACACCAAAAAATCAAGTTTTTAAGTTGCATCATGCTTGGAACATCCTCAATGATTGTCCGAGGTGGGGAACTGATGCGAACCAACAATGTGGAAGGTTATTTCATAGTGAATCCTTACCCCCAAAGATGTCAATAAAGGTGTGAATTTTGCCAACAATGAAGGTGTCGAACAAATGACCCCAACTTCTTCTTTTGCAAGGCCCACGGCCACGGGTAGAGATAAACAAAAGTAAGCAAAGAGAAAAAGGAAGGCCCAAGATCCGATATGTGCACAATTTGCTAGCTTGATGGTAAGAATGAATGAAAACCATATCTCTCGGCAAGAAGAATTAGCCCAAATGCGTTGGCCATGAAGGAACAAAGGGATATGGAGCAAGAAAGGTTCAAAGTTAATTTGATGATGGAGGACCTCGACAAATACACTCCAGAGAGGAAGAAATACTTATGTGGTAAGCAAAAGGACATTTTATGAAGGAATGTCACAAGGAATATATTTCAAGATGATGATTCATCTCAAGACTATCACCCAAGTTCATCACTAAGCCAAGGCTATCATTATTAAGTTTATGAGTTTTCGATTGTATTAAGTTTATGTGGTTTATTAATTGTCTTTTTTTTTTTTTAAGTTTATGTGGTTTATTAATTGTCATTTGTATTAATTTATGTGGTTTATTAAATGTTGTTTGTATTAAGTTTATGTGGTTTATCATGATTTTCATGTATTGATTTAGTGATTTTTTGAAATTTATCGGAATTTAAATATTTTTAGATTAAATGTTCATATAATTAATTTAGGATAGTCTACATATATTTTTTTTAAAGTTAATTTAAAAAAAATAGCCTTAATTCATTCTTTGATAATTTGGGCAAAAATTTTAGGCCAGAAGGGTTAGAGCAAAAAAGCTGTTTCTAGGCTAAATATTTTTACATTTTAGATCACCATTGGAGATGGTCTAATGAAGGATTGGGCAAAAAAAAAATTTGGGGCCCACTAGGCCAAAATATAGCCAAATGGCCAGAGGGCTAGGCAAACATAGCTAGCCAACCAGCCCTGAAAATTGGGCCCAACTGTGTTGCTAGCTAACGTCATGTAACATTTTTTTTTAAGACGAAATTAAAAAAAAAAAAAGATTTTTAATTTTTTTTTATAAATCCCAAAGCCATTTCTCACATCATTTTCACATTTTCATACTATCTTACCTCATTTTAATGTCTAAGTTGTTAACATGCAAGTAAAATTAAAACATTTAATAACATGAAACTTAAACAACATGAAATTTAAAATAACATTTAGCGATAAATGACCCTTAAAATATGTCTAGAAACTTTATTTTAATATAGTAGTTTAATTAAATTAACTGATAAAATTAAAGAGCAAATTTAAAATAATAAATTATTAATGGGCTAAAAAAATAGTCCCCTTCCTTTCTGTATATAGATATGACCTAACACTGTTTATTAAAAAATAATTTATTGTTGAGCTATAATTTCGATAAGGGCTAAACGTAGCCCTTTTGATTAGAAATGACCTTAGAGAGATTGCATCTTGCCAAACTTTTTTAATGGTTGAAGCTTACTTAGTAAAATGTTGGACTATAAATAAAAAGAATTGTTATTAGCACTCTAAAAATCTCATTTAGCACTCTAAACTTTTTATAATTAGAAAAAAAAAAATACACTTGTGAGGAGTGTAGAATGAAAATTTTGGAGTGCTAATAACAGTTCTTTAAATAAAATGTTAAATATATGAGAAAATGATAATAATTTAAACTTCATGATGAGCATTGAGAAGAATGAATTGAGAATCAAACCAAATTTGGCCTGAACCGGAAATATAAAAATTGGGAACCTATTTAATAGGGAGTTTTAAAGAAAAGTCTGCGGTACTGTTCACTTTAACGAAAAACTACATTTTTACACTAAAAATTCAAACCTGGTACTATTCACTTTACCTTTTATTTTGTCTTTATCGTTAAAACTCAAACTTTCAAAGCCATTTTCATTAGTTTTCCTTTTAAAATTTTCAATACCCATGTTTGGTCTATTAGGTTTTCTAATATTTTTTTCGGTTTCGGTATAAAACATAACCAGGCTATAAGACATTGGTTCGGTACCGGTTCTTTATGGTACTGTTTGGTACGCAGACGAGACTGGATGGAACGAGATGGGACGGGACGAGACAGGACGGAACAGAACAAAATCTTATGTTTGGTACGTGCAGGACGGAACGGGACAATTGTTTCATTTTGTGTTTGGTAAATGCATGACGACACATAACCAAAAGATTAAATGACTAACTTACCCATGTTTCATCTGTTGTTTGGCACAATGTTTATACGTAGAACAAAACGGGACAGTTTTCCACAAATCTAATTAAATATTTCCATGTAGATTTAAAATATTTAATAATAAAAAATAATTTTTATTTTTATATAATTAAAACTTAAAAAAGAAAAAAGAAAAAGAAGAAGATGAATTGTTCATCTTCTTCTTCCCTACCCCGTCTTCTTCCCCATTAAAACTTAAAACTTAAATATTTAAATCTTGATTTTGTTGCTCTAGCAAACCCCCATCAAAACAAAAGTTTTCCAAAATCTCTATCTCCCTAAGGTTTTCAAACCCAACAACAAATAAGCAAAGATTTTTTGTACTGCAGGTTAAGATTTTGTTTTTTGGGTTGCAAGATTTTTTATTCATTCCCCATAAAATAAAAAACCATATATACTAAGAACCCAACTGCAATTCAAAGTTTGATAAATTTGGGTTCAAAGCCAAAGTCGTCGTCGAGTACAATGCCGTTGTCGGTCACTAGCAACAATCGACTCGCCGGAAACTCGTTGCTTGAACTGAACTCTGGAATACCCATCGTGAGAGTGAGAAAGATGAAGCATGGTTTGTGAGATAGGAGAAGCAGGGTTTGGGAGGCAAAAACTGTAATGACAAGGCGGCTGGAGTGGGAAGCTTAATGGGCGGCAGAGGGAGCGTTGAGGTTGAGGAAAATGCAGCTGGGTTTGTGGTGAAGGAGGAGGAGGTTATAGGAGAGAGGGAGGGTAGACAGTGGAATTAATGAAAAAGAAGAGTGGTATTGTTGTCCAAAAAAATTATAATTTTGTGTTCCACGGGCATGGAACGAGTCATTCCAAGGGGTAAGGTGGAATGAAAAAGTAACCAAATTTGGTTCCGCGGGACAGCGTGTTCCACTGTTTTTAACGCACCAAACGTAGGACAGAATGCCTCGTCCCACTGCGTTCCGTCTCGTCTTATGTACCAGACGGTACCTATATGTTTAGTCGAATTGAATTGAATTTTCTTTTTAAAAAAGTCCTTTTGACATGCAGGGAATAATGATGGGTTGAAAAATAGTTTTAGAATTTTTTTTTTTTAATTTATGGTGGGTTTTGTAATGTAGGTTGACAAACAGAATAATGAGGTGGGTCGAAAAGCAATCAAAATTTGTTGAGATTATTATAGAAATGGTCCATTAATTTTTATTCAATTTGAGTAATGGTCTCTCAATTAAACATTCATGATTATTGGTTCCTTAACTCATCAAAATGTGCAACTATGATCCTTTTCGCAAACTCTGTTATAACTTCTGTCAACATGAGTCATATCCCTTGCATACGAGGTTGAATCAAGAGACAAATATGGAAAACCAAATGAGAAAAATTGTAGCAGTGGTCCCCACTTTAACCTAATTGGAGAAATGACCCATCGATTATACCCATTGGAGCAATGTCCATCAACTTTAACTCAAGTATAACAATAGTTATTCCAATATGACTCATTTTGACGAAACTCATATATAATTGACGAAAAAGATCATAGCTGCACATTTTGATGAGTTAAGGAATCAATGATTATGAATTTTTAATTAAAAGATCATTACTCTAATTCAATTAAAATTGAGAAAACATTTCTACAATTTTCTCAAATTTGTCGGTTCAAATTAAAGACTCTAGTCTCCAGGTAAACCGTTGGATGGAAATGTAGCCCAGAGGATATGATCGAGGTTTCATCCAACGGTAGTGGGAAGCCCAACAAAGCCCCGTAAACGCAAATATGCAAGATAAGGCAGGCAGTCGACAGGCTGAAGAAAAGAAAAATTCACAGCAGTCGCGGATCTTATCGTCTCTCTTGGGTGAGTATGTAATTTTATTTCACCGATTCAATCAATTTGGTTGATTTTTTACTGGTTAATTGGTGAGACATGCATAGCTCTATGCCCTGTAGTTTTGATTGGAATTTTCTGAAGAAAAATTGAGCTAGATTTGGGATCTAGGGTTTCAACTCTCAATTACTTAATATATTCTTCTCTTTGCATTTTATTGGGAGGTTTAGGTTTTAGGGGTTCTGGATATTGCACGTTTGGCCGGTCAGCTAACTTTTTATTTAGGTTTTTTGTTTAATTATAGCTCACTTGTCTTCTGCTTTGCAAAGGTAGGGGAAGAAACGTCTATCATACGCAGTCTTATCTTTTGCTTTACAAAGAGGTTTTTACCTTTGCTTTGCAAAGAGGCTGTTTTCACTGCTGAAACCATTGACCTTTTGGTCACAAAGAGGCTGTTTTGCATTATGTCTATATTTGGTAGAGGGACTTTCAAATTCCGAGGGATGGAGGCCAGTTTAGTAACAAATGGTCACAAAAAGATGATCAGCACTCCATGGATATCAAATCTCTTGGGACTTGGAAGTCCCTCGTCCATACATAGCCTGAAACGGGTAGAATCCCAAATGATTGTTAGGTTATCTTACATTTCACCGATTTGATTTCCTTGTTTTTTGCTGTTATTTGGTTTGATAAAGATCTAGCCTTGTAGTATTGCTTGCATTGATAAAATTTAGTTCCATGTAGTATTGATAAAAATTGCGTTCCTTTTGGGGTTTAGGGTTTTAACTTTCAACATTATATTATTAATATGATGGTGATGATGATGATTATGATTACCCAGAATCTAATTTATTACAGATTTTGGAACAACAATTCAGTCTCTGGTTGGGAAAAATGTGGAGTAAATCATCATGTTTTCTTCACACCAATAAAATAGCTGCTGCAAAATTGGTCGGAGGTTTTAGATTCGCTACCGCTGCCGTTAACCACTACAATGGTTCAACCTCAAGGTCTCTCTTTGGTCATGGCTATTTCTTTCGCTGCCAGGAAAAAATTCCTCCCAATACTATCAAATATAGGCAGACGCAGGTATTACTTTTCAATGATCTGAACTGATAATCAAGTGTTTAGTTGGTTGTCAATGTGATTGGCATTTTTTTTAAGAATATACCGTTCAGTTATTACACTTCCATTCCATGCACAATGGGCCGCACAAGCAATTCCCCTTTCTTGCAAAAGAAAAGAGAATACGTACCAATCCTCTGTCTACTACATGTATATTACGGCTATGTACATAATGTGTTCGCCTATCTTTTTTACTACTGGATGTCTTAGTGCTTTTAGATTTGTGCAAGGATTGTCTTATGTTGTGTGGTTGTTGTAGCACTACTTGTTTCAATTTTGAATAGGGCCAAACCTACGGACAATGCTTCGGGTTAGACCAACGTGGCCATCCATCTCCTTATTCTATGGATCATCCCAAGAATATGGCTCCGGCCCTTTTCGCCGTGGAAGAGTATAACAAGAAAAAGGTTTGAATTATATTGTAACTTTTGCCATTTATTTTATAGTTTTTTTTTTTTTTTTTAAAATAAAAAAGAGGGGTAAATCTCAGTTTACTATTTTTAAGTTTCGTGGTTTTCAACATTTAGTACATCTTGTGAGATTATGCAAAGGAGCTTGTGGATATTGTGGTGGACTATGGAGCAGTTCCAACGCTTGTTAAGCATCTACAAGCGCCTCTGCAGGCCACAAACGGCCAAAAAAGCCCGATCCCGTTCGAGCACAAGGTCCAAAAAGGGGTGGAGGGGATGGAGGAGTGGAGGGTGGGGGAAGACGAAGGGGTTCTGGGTGTGTGTGTGTGTGTTTTTTTTTTTTTTTTTTTTTTTAATTTTTTTAAATGACACGTGGTGCCCAGTCATTGTCCACATGGACACCACGTCATCAGTTAACGGGAGACTTAACAGCAAAACTAACGGATGTATGAGATTGTTCCAAAATTAACACTTTAGGTAAGATTCTGGGATGAAAAAAAAATTTCATGTATTAAATGTTGAAAACCACAAAACTTAAGGGTAGTAAACTGGGATTTACCCAAAAAAGAGAGTTTAATATGTTACTTGTTTTAACTCTATCTAATGTTCTTTGCTTCTTCTTCTCTATTAGAATGCCAAACTTCATTTTGTGAGAGTTGTCTACGCTAGGCAGATGCTTTATCATGGTGATTTCATTCAAAATGTATACTTTGATGCGATTGATGGGGGTGTGACCGAAATGTACAATGCAAGAGTTCAGAGCAGATTCGGCTGCAATATGAAGCTGATATCATTTGACGGAGGTAACTGTTCTATGCTATGGTACCCTGTCAATTTATCATTAAGAAAGTTTGATTCACTAAGGTGCATGTTTATTGAACGTGTGAGGTCAGAGTGTGTGTGGTGATGATCTCGTTTCTACTAAGAAAACCAACCTTTTAAGGATCCTTGTGTACTCGATTCTGATGGATGGAAACATGCTCAAGTTTTAATTTGCAAACGGCGATTGTGCTTACGTGTGTTTTGCTATGTGCAATGTGTATGTGTGTTGTTGGGTTCTTCTAGCCCATGATGGGTTGCCTAAAGTCTATTGGAATTATAATCTTAGAGGATTAAATTATTTATTCAATTTAAGTTGTTTGCCTACTTGGATCTTGGTTGGCCTTTCAGTATTTTGCTACATACATGGGTTCGGTCCTCCAAGGCATGTTAGAGCTCTCTTCAACTTGCTCATGACTAGATCGATCGGTTTTGAGTTGGTTTTCCAATGAGAGAATGATTCATAACTAGATTCCAATTAGGATCGGTAATCGTTATTGAAGAAGACCTTTGTATGTCAATATAAAGGAACTATTGCACTAATTATAAAATGGAGGAAAACAATAAGTTGTATACCACTTGGGGAGTTAAGAGTGATAGAATATTGTAAGGGCAAATTGTGTGCGCGGGGGTGCCGGGGGTGGTTAAGAAAATATATAAAGAGTATTTCTTGTTCTTGTTCTTTCAGATTTTTCGTCAAGGATTAGAGGCTTGGTAAGGTTATTCGTTGCACTTATTATTGATGTAGGGAATGATTGTTGTTGCCCCGTGGACATAGGCACATATAGTCGAATCACGTTAATTCTTGGCCTTGTTTATCTCGATTATTCTGTTTTCAATTTCCTGTGTTTGTTTTGTTTTTTCCATTCTGAAAACGCAATATTCACAACATGCGTGCGTATTTATATATATAATGGATTGTGCTTGGATTTATTTTTAGGCTTAATTATTGGTATGCCCATTAACCGTCTCTCAAATCTCATTTTGCCATTGGAAACTCATCTTGTCACACTTTTGCCATCTCGCATTTATCCCTATTCCTTCAACTGAAGTCGATAGGGATTTTGACAAATTTGATGGACCGAGAAAAAGTGAGACAGGAATGGCGAAGTATGCGAGACTAAAAGAGTTTTCGCGGGCAACGTGGGATTCCAGTGATATTTGAGCGGGCGCAACAATAATTAGGCGTGATTTTCTCATGTACCATAGTAAATATCGAAGTAGTTTGAAATTCATTGTTTAACATGTGCTTAATTGTCAACTTTGCTGACCAGGTAAAGACAACAAGCACGAGTTTGTGGAAAGGACGATTCGCTATGGAACTTCTACTTCCAAAATTGCGCCTGTATAAACGCACATTTTTATTAACTATGTGAGTTAATGTTATGGACTATGATCCCCCGTTGCTTTAGTCAAAGTGAAACGAAATTTTAGTTTGAGAAAATAAAGTGATGGCTTTTAAGTTGATAGCAGAGTGAGATCCAAAATAAAGTTTTGAGAGGGGACGTTACTAAAAATAAGCCTTAAATTTATAAAGTTTTCATTATAGATGGAGTGCAAAAAGTTGCCTTGTTTATATTGTTAGTGGACGTTTGTTTGCCCTTACTAATTGTCATTGAACTAGATTGGACTAGTCCAGCGTTTGCTATCACCTAGGACTAATGTTAATGACATTAGCCTAGACTTGCCTATGCTAAAGGTGTCCTTGGAGGTTCTTAGCAAGAGTTTCCAAAAACCATGGGACTAGCTGAGGCCTCCCTCTGTTCTTTGTTTCACTCTCCCTCTCTCCTGGCCCTCAACCCAGAACTTAATTTCAGCAATTTCCCCCAAAATCCCTTTTCTTATTTTCCATCGAATCCCCATAAACCCAACCAAAACTTGATGGCATGGGTAAATGTTAGGGATCATTTTTGTGATAAAAATCCGTGAATCTTATGGGTCCAATATGTGTAGAAAATTAATGTGATCATGCCATTACAGTTTTGTTAAAAAACCCGCAAAATCCCTTCACCCCCAAACCAAACAAGTCAGGCTATAGGTGGGCCCAAGACCCTAAACTAGGCAGTCGGGCGAGAATGGCTCGAGTGGGTGCCTGAGTTGGTGTGACGTCAACCTGGCACCAATCAAGTTGAAATTTTTTTGCGCTCGACACATGTGCGTGGTGGCGCGTCGAGCGACAAAATTTCAGCGAGACCTGCAATGCAGATGCTTTATAACGTGGGAAATTTAGATCCCTAGATTTCCAATGGTCATGTAATCGGACTATCATAATAATTCAGTTTCTAAGTTTATAAATTTTTAAAAAAGGAAAATGATTGACATGCCATGTGGCACAAATTGGTCACTAAATTTAAATAATCTAACCACCAATATAAATTTAGCCAAAAAATAATTTAAAATTAAAAAATACATGACGTGACGGATTTGTTTAAATATCCTATCGGAAATTAATCATAATATTCTTTAAATAAATTTTTTTAGGAAAAAAAAAAAACTAATTTTTCATGCGCTTGCTCAGTTGCTTGGGGCATTGATTTCTGAGGTGGAGATGCAATCGTGCGGTTATTGTTCACTAACAATAATTACCAGAGTGTAGAATTGCTCCATGGGGTAGCTACCTCATGGCCTTTGAAAAATCTGGAAAAATCCCACCAAATGTGTTTTCGTTAAGACTAAAAATCTAATGAGACCCTTAATTTTCTAAAAAAACTTATTAGTTAACATTAAGGCTCCAGCCTCTAGGTGCACCGTTAGATGGAAATGTAGCCCAAAGGATCTGATCGGGGTTTCATCCAACGGCAGGGGGAGGCTCAACAAAGTACAATAAATGCAAAAACAACGGGAAAGATTGAAGATGCGGCAAGCAGTCGATAGCTAAAGGAAAATTCAGAGAGAAAAAATTCACGGCGGGTCTCCGATCTCGTCTTCTCTCTTCGGTGAGCATGTAATTTCAATTCACCGACTCAATCAATGACAATGTAGTTGATTTTTACTGGTTATTTTGCGCGACGTATATGGATCCATGCCTTGTAGTGCTGCTTGGATTTCTTTGAAGAAAAATTGGGCTGGATTTGGGATCTAGGGTTTCGGCTTTTAGTTGCTTGAATTTTTTTTTCTTTACGTTTAGTTGGGTGGGGGGCTCTGGACATTTGCAAGTTCGGATGCTACCTATTTATTTAGCTCGCTGTTAGAACAAATGGACCACAAAAAGCCCGGCTTGCAAATGCAATCCATGGATCACCTTCGATTTCGATTTCTTTGTTTATTACTTGCTTCTTATATTGGGATTTAGGGTTTCAACTTCAGCATTATATCATTAACATGACGATGATTGTGATTACCGAAAATTGAGTTGGTTTTGGGGGCTATTATATTAATATGATCGTGATGATTGTGATGATGATGACCCAAAACCTAATTTATTTATATACAGAGTGCGGTAAAAATGTGGAGTAAGTCATCCTGTTGTTTTAACACCAATAGAAAGGCTGTTGCAAACTTGGTCAAGGGTTTTAGATTTGGTATTGCTGCCATCTACCACCACAATGGTTCAACCTCAAGGTCTCTCCGCCGCCGCGAAAAGAGTCCTCATTCGACCAAATCATTGCTCATGCAGGTATTACATTTTGAACCTGATGAACATACTACATGTACATTTACATCTGTGTACATACCGTGTTCATCTATCTGTTTTACCGACTACTAGCTAGATGTCTTGGTGGTTTTAGGTTTTGTGCAAGGATTGTCCTTTTTGTGTGGTTGTAACACTTCTCGATACAATTTGAACAGGGCCAAAGCTACAGAATAAGCATCCTTGGCCGTCCATCCCCTTATTCTATGAACCATCTACTCCTCGGCCGTCCATCTCCTTATTCTATGGATCATCCCATGGCTCCTGCCCGTTTCTCCGTGGAGGAGTATAACAAGAAAAAGGTTTGAACATTTCTTAACTTTAGCCATGTATTTATTAGTTTATTTTTGTTAAAAAAGAAAGAGAGTTTAATATATTGCTTGCTTTAACATTACCTAATGTTCTTCACTTCCTTATCTATTAGAATGCCAAACTCCATTCTCTCCGGCTTGACACCTCAGAACACACCGTTCTTAAAATTGGAGGCAGTCGATGACTACTAATTCAGTCAGTAATCCTCGTTACTAGGCTCCGGCCCAGAGGATCTTAGGAATACAAGTGGCGCTACTAGGACTCTTATTAGCTTCTTTCTTCCAACGACTGAGTTTGCCTACCCTATCAATGTATTGAATACTAGGTTACACTAGGCTGAAATGTACAAGTGCATTATTTTCTTGTTGCTAATTTCCCTACCCTAACAATCATTTTACTTATTATGCCTATGTATACATTGTACCCTTTACTAGGTGTTCATGAATTGATCTTCAAACTTGGCATTGAACGGTCTTCACAAACCCTAAACCTCCTAAAGGAGAGGGAGATTTTCTCTTGCAACCATTTCACACGAGTGGAAACCCCTCATTGGATGGGTAACTCACTTTTTGAGCACGTGGCAAAGCAAGCACTAATTGGCCGAGTGACACCACTAGGTCGAGTGAAATGGTTTCAAGAGGGAATCTCTCTTTCCAAAGAAACACTAATATAAAAATGAATTGAAAATTACAATCACTTTGGTGAAGGTGATGCTCCCAATCAAACTCTATTGATTATCGTTAGATGAACTAGATTAATCAAAGAAACAAAGAGCATACATGACCGAAAAGGCACAATCTCGAAGAAACAATGTGCACACATGATCAAAAAAACATTATGCATGCGTGCATAAACTTTTACCAACCAAAGTGTACATATGGAGATGTTTTATATTGAAAGGAATCTTGGTTAAGAGGCCCTACCAAACATGGTATTATTAAGACTGATTGTGTGGACACCAAAATGGATTTTTGCAGGGCAGTGACCGAGATTATATTGTGGACTGGAGGCCCATCATGGGTCCTATCCGCGACCAGATGGATAGTTCCCATTGTTGGGCCATATCCACATGCGTATGCGCCGAGGCGCTATATGCTCTAGAGACACGGAGACGAGTTATGCTCTCCCCGCAAAGTATCGTGCGCCGTTTAAGAGTTTCCAGTGATCGAGGTTATTCTCTGAGCAAGTCTTTTCAGCTGATGAACACTGGTGGTGCTGTACTCGAGAAAGATTGGCCGTATATGGGGAAGCGAAAGAAGGTCAGATTTTCATTGGTGAAATTAGCTTAAAATATGCATAACTTGTTTGGGTAAATGAATTGTAACACTTGGATTAGATTAATTTTTCATCAAAACCTACTGTAAGATTAGATATTTGATCTTAATCCTCCACAACATCATGATTATGATAACTCATATTCTATTGTTTTTAAAATTTTTAATCACTTTTTATTCCCATTGTACCCCTGTAATTAATTATTCAAACTTTCTTGGTATGTTCCACATTACCAGGAACTAGTTTTGACTTGATTTATGCTTGATTTCTTCCATGATTATTATTGTACCTGAAGATTTTTCATATAATCATGCATAAATTACAAGATAAAAAGGGCAACGTATAACACATAATACACCAGTTTAGTATATGTATCTAAATTACAGTACCTACTTAAACAAACCTAAATTACAATACCAACACACCTAAATCGTAGTACCCGATGTGTTGAACACACCAAATTATATTATCGAATCAAATGCATCTAAATCATAATACCTAATCGAATGTACCCAAATTATAGTACCTAATCAGATTGTTCTAATACATAAATGAGCAAACCCAACTCCAAACTCAACAATTCATAAGCTAACAAAATGATCAAAATCCAATAATAAAGCAACCAAAACAAATTAACCACAAACGCAATAAAATAAGAATAATTACCACAAGCACAATGCACAAAAAGTTACTAAGGTTGAACACATTCTTCAAAAATCGTTAGAATAACCTAGTTTATCAAATTTTCACAAAACCCCCTCACATTTGAGACATTACACTAACACCCCCCTCACGTTTTAATTCACTTTCACATAACCCTTTCAGTCAAAATTATGCTAATAAATTGACAAGTTTACCCTTATAATTAATTAATTAAATAATAAAGAAAATATTTAAATAAATAAATTAAACATTAAAAAATAAATTAAAAACTTAAAAAGATCGAATGGGAAAAAAGAGAGAAAACCCTAAACCCTCACAATTCCATGCCTCACCGTTCTTCCTCCTCGCTGTCTCACCATCGCCACGATCATCCCTTTCCTGTCCCCCGCCCCACCCTCTAGAAAAAGGACTAATCTTTGTTCTCTGTATCAATGAACCATACACATGGTCCATAACATAATGTAGTATTTCTAGATTCATAGTCACCATTTTTTAGAGAAACCCAGAAATTTAGACACCAAAATTTTTACCAAAGTTAGGTTTTTTGATCAATTTGAACAAAACCCAGATGAGATTATATGCAAATTTTGAGAAACAAAGAACCCAAAATCCAGAATGTTGAAATAAAATAAGATTTGTGAATTTTATCATTTGAACCTCATCTCTCACCACTTCCCATTCCCCAGCACGTTCCCACCCAACCATCCCAACCCAATCTAGATTAGTCCCGCTCCCTCCTGAACATATCCAACTGAAACCTTACACACCCATCTCGGATTGTGGTTCCAGATCGTACAACCCATAGAATATAGGGGTTGCTTTTCATGGCCATGGCGGCATCGGAACTCTCCGGTGCCAACAACAATGCAGAGTTTTCCATAGTGGAATGATCAATCGATGGCTTTTTCTTCTCGATAAATATATGACTTATGCTTGGTGGAGGAGTTGAAGGCTTTGGGCAGCGTGCAGGCATGGGTGAGAATGGTGGTGGTGTGAATAAGTCAAAGAAAGGAAGAGAGAGGGAGAAGTTTTTAATGTTTAATTATTTATTTTTATGTTTATAATATATTTCTTTATTATTTAATTAATTAGTTAGGGTAAAGTTGTCAATTTATTAGCAAAATTTTGACATGTGAAAGTGAATTAAAACATGAGAAGGTGTTAGTGTAATGTCTCAAATGTGTGGGGGTTTTGTGAAACCTCGATAAACCTCAAGGGGTGTTTGTGTAATTAACCCTACACATGTCATATGTCGTCCAAAACCAATAGAAAGAAAATAAAGAGAGACCTAAAATGCAAATAAAAAACGAACAACCGAAATGTATGTGGAGATATCAACCAATATATAGATGGTTGCCTAATCTCTTTTTCAATTGCAGAAGCCTAATCTCTAAGTCCTTTTGATTTTGCATCTTTAAATGTTGGATGCTGATTTAGAATTAAAAAAAAAAAATCCCCTTCATTGAGAAACCATTTAATAGCAATATTTTGGTGTAATATAGGAAGACAAAACACATTAAAGTTACAAAAACAAATTAAATATGACATGGAATGTAAATGCTGACTCGGACATGAATCAAAGGACTAAACTAGTTTTTAATCTTAATTAAGGAATTGATCAAAAAGAAAATTATTTTTAAGGACTAGAATCGTGTTTTCTATAGTTTAAACACAAAAATACTCACTTTGTAACTATTTTCTCATTTCTAGCATATCAGCCAGTGGATATACTTCGGATTATGGCACCATATCCAGGGGGAGAGCGAGATGGAGAGGATGCTAGACAAGTATCCGATTGCTGTCGCTATAGCATCCCACCCTGTATTCTCTGACACAAGAGTGAGTTGGGCAAACCTCTCTTTTTTAAAGGTTTCGAGAAATAAAAATTCTAATCAAAACATCTTTTATGCATTGTAGGGGATGATCGTAGGACCGCAGGAGGTCCCCGAGCAGATATGCACCAGCTCCGAGTGTCCCCATTTTAGACACGTTGTTAGAGTGCATTGCAGTTATTGCGGTGTTGGAGGTGGCCTCCATGCCTTAGTTCTCATTGGTCACGGAGTGACCGATGAAGGTCAACGATTCTGGATGCTACGGGATTCATACGGCAGAGAGGGCAGGGAGGATGGCAATATCCTCGTCGAGAAGGGGAAAGACGTGCTAGGGATCGAGAGTTTCGGGGCATGGGTTCTGCTTCCGAGAGAGTAAGTAGAAAAATCTCCCACATGAACTAAATTATTTTCATATAATGTATTTTTGTGAATCCCACTAACTGGTGCTGTAAATTTGATTGGAAAAACAGGACTTGGGAGTTTGCGGCTATGAGGAGACTACCATGGGGATCAAAGTGGAGTGGAAAACTTGTGAAGAGATCGGAGCACGAACGACTGATAGAGGAGAGCTGGAAGGAGGGCGAGAGAGAGACAGGAGAGTGATGCATATGGGATTAGGTTTTTTTGTGTAGTTTTCTATGACTGCATAATTTGACTTGTAACAGATGGTATAGCTAACAAAGTAGTTTGTGTCAAATTTACCTCTGTTGCTTCTATGTTTCTCTGTTTCTCTGATCTAAGGTTGGTGTGCCTGCCTGCCTGCAAAACAATAAGAGGAAAATATATAAAAATTGGCATTAAAATTGAGATTCATGGAATTGGGATAGCAGGGAGGGATTGAAATTGGAATTGGGTTGTCTGAAAAATCAACACCTTCGTTGGATTGGGATCTTACAGATCCTCGTTGGATTTGGGGATCTTACGGATCCAAGCCGTCGTACATCATCTCTCCCTGTGGCTTGCTTCTTCCTCCGATTAGCATGAATAAGAGGTATCCAGAACAACAAAAAAATCATTCCTCCATGCGGCTTGCTTCTTCCTTCGATTAATAAGAGGTATCCAGAACAACAAAAAATCATTCCTCCCTGTGGCTTGCTTCCTCCTCCGATTAATAAGAGGTATCCAGAACAACAAAAAATCATTCCTCAGAACTGATGATGGAATTAAGGGGAGGAGGGGCTGCGGCGGCCAAGGAGAAGGGAGAAGGGAGAAGGCAAGGGTTCAACCTGGATGGGCGAAGAGAGAGAGGTGGAGATAGATAGATCTGATTTTGGGGTTTGTGTAGTTTATTACTTTTTTTTCTTTTTCTTTTTTTTTGAAAAAGCTTTTGTCCTCTTTTTCCTTTCTCTTTTATTATCAAGGGGCTTAAGTCTAAGCAGTAAAAGTACACCCGAATACTATTTATATTCTTTTGTCATTAGTGGATAATTGATTGCAACTACTATTAGTACTTCTACTACTCATAATTTTTAGGATTGACTTTTGTTTTTATTTGTTTGCAATATCTTTTTCAATAACCTAAATCAATTAATAGCATTGTTCTAAAAATTCTTTTATATACACTAGGCTACTTATTACAGCTTCCATTACTTTTTAAGCGTTTTGAAAATTAATAAAATGTGTCTAGACTTAATTAGAGGTCTGCCTAAACGGTCTAACTATCTATTTAGATCGCGACTTTTACTTAGATATAAAATTAATAACTTTTATTTTACATTTTATTTTTTAATAAAATGTAAAAGACTTGTTGAATACTTTGGTAAACATTCATTATATGTTTGTTCCTTATGTTTTCAGTATGTTCTAATATTTTATAATTCATTTTATTTTACAATTTATATTTCAATACAATTATGTATTTTTTAAATATAAGAAATCATTTATTTATACTATATTTAATAAATTTTTCTTTTTTTTTAATTTTATTTTACAAAAAATGTGTTTGTTAGGGGTTGACATGAATGCTAAAACTTTTGTATTTTTTTTTTGGGTCAAACCATAGATTTTATTATATTAGTCACAGACGAGATTCTAATCCACATCGTCATGCAAACACTCAATACATTTTCATCACTGTGCTAAAGATTCACTTATGAATGTTAAAACTAGTTTGTTGAAAAAATTATAAGAGATTTATGATAAAAATTATAATAAAATAATATACTTCTAAGAAGTACGTTACTTGGCTGAGGCGTGAGTTTTCCATTTTTTTAGTTTGACAAATCCACGGTACACCAACATAATTATGAAATATTTCTCAGTATGACCAAGACATGGAATGCTACACTAGATATTATTATATAAGTGTAAAAATACTTAAAAAATAAAATTTTATACTATTTATATAATAAAATATGATGTATTATTTTGTATTTCAAACCTACTGAATTTTTTCTCTATATTTCTTGACATGTCCCTACAGGATAGAACATTCCATCTGAATTTTTGTGTGACACGAACATAAACAAAAGGAAGTATCCAAACTCCACCACATGAACACCATTCGGTTATGGAGGGACTGATTTCTCTTCCCGCACTAACAGAGTAAACATTTTGACCTTGCAGCTCGCCAACGATGGCAGAAACGGAGGAACCCCCCACCATACCCTTTAAGAATCTCAGTAACAGAGAGTACCAGGGCCACAAGAAGAAGGTCCTCTCTCTCTCTAAATTTCGTAATCCAATCGCAATCTTCACAAAACCCTAAAATCTCTTGCTCTCTGTTTTCAATTTGCTAAATTTGATCGTTTTCGTTATGGTAAAGGTGCATTCTGTGGCTTGGAACTGCACGGGGACGAAGCTCGCGTCGGGTTCTGTTGATCAAACCGCTAGGGTTTGGCACATTGAGCCCCACGGACATGTAAAGCTCAGCTCTTTCCAGTTAATTTATTCATATTTTCCAATAAATTTACTGTTTTTATCTGAGTTGTATATATGTTAATATATATTTATATATCAGTTTATATATGTTGCAGGGTAAGGCTAAAGATATTGAATTGAAGGGGCACACAGACGGTGTGGATCAGCAGTGTTGGGACCCCAAGCATGCTGATTTGATTGCCACTGCCTCTGGGGACAAGACGGTTCGTCTTTGGGACGCTCGGAGTAAATCATTGCTATTTCAAGTTTCGGTTTATATGTTTTTAGATGACATTATTGTCGAGCTTTACTATCCTCTCCATGCAAGTTTAGATTTCTCATATTTTTAGAAAAGGTAATCAAGTTGCTGATTGCTTGGTCAATTGTGGTGTTGATCGACTCGGTGTCCATTGGTGGGATTCATGGCCTCCTTGTGTTGCAGATGTTTATTCTCGCAACCTTTCTAAATTTCTTTGCTATAGGTTTTGCTGAAAAATGTTTTGAATTGTTGTTATGAATTCTTTAATGATCTAAGTTTGGTCTCATGTGCCCCCTGACATATTGTATTTTTCTTGTTTATCAATAAATTCTCCTCAAAAAATTTTCTCATGATAGCAATACTGAAATGGGACATATTTTGCGACCAAATTTAAAAAATAAAAAAAATCCCTATGTGGGTACTTCAGGTGGAAAATGTGCACAACTAGCAGAACTTAGTGGGGATAACATTAATATCACCTATAAACCTGATGGGACACATCGCCGTTGGTAATAGGGTAATGTTTACTTGTTCCGAACCTCTATTCCGCGAGTTTGCACAGTTTCTGGTTCTGTAAATTTTTTTTCCGCATAACAATTGTTCTCCACTTTCAATAATTAAAAAATTAAGTGTAATATTTTTATTTTTCATATATCCTTGTATTATTGTACGTACCATCATTATAGCAATGAATTCGTAACATAAAAATCGTTCTCCACTTTCAATTTGATGCCAACGCACATTAATACACGCCCCATCAATTTAGGTATCCAGCAAGCCAATAATGGCAGCTAACAACGCCAACCACAAATGACGTGGCCAATGCTACAATATTCAATTCTAGAGTCAAATCGCAACCACGTTTTACCGTAGTGACGGAAAGAAATCTAGTATATGTACATTAGTATGAGTTTAATCTTTAATAAATGCTCAGTCTCATGGTGGTTAACGGTCATTGTGGCATCTCATTACCATGTGAAGAAAAACTTATCTATGCCAATGTATTATTGGATTAGGATTGGACGTCATTGACAAGTGTATAATTTTGCATATTAAAGTACATGTATAAGGAGGTATTTATAAGATTACAGCAATGTTGAACCAATAATTGAACTCTGCTCTGATACCATCAAATACGACTTCAATACTTTATTCTTCTCCCTAAGGAGGTATTTATAAGATTACGAATGAGCAATATTATGAAATAAATCAAAACAATCATTTGTCTACAAGACAAGAAAATCTAGACTGAATCAAATCATATCAAAATCCTAATTAAATCATATTAAATCACTAATTAATTAATAGTCCTAAAATACTTTCCATTTTATTTTCTTACCAGAAATGGCTTTCACTTTGGAAATAATTTTGCTTACACCCATAAATTTTCTCACTGATTGACGCTACATAAGTTTAATTTGTGTAATTGAAGTATTTTTTATCACTACCATTTAATGTGGTGTATGCTCATTACCATATTTATCATCGTTATATGAGTTTGAATTTCGAGATTCGTGTAGTAAATAGACACAAATATCAAAATTCAAACTCATCTAACAGTGATAAATAAGATAGTGAGCATACACCATACTAAATGGTGGTGAGCAAAAATGCACTCTTGTGTAATAGAGAGGTTAAATTTGAGCATCCAACAGTAATTAATAAGGTTTGCTTTGGGAGCATCACCATCAGTTAAATTGTGGTGAGCATTCATGCACCCTTTACATTTTCAATTGGGATTGTAATTTTCAATTCATTTTTATATTAGTATCTCTTTGAAATAGAGATTCTCTCTTCAAACCATTTCATTAGACCTAAAGAGAATCACTTGGCCAATTAGTGGTTATTCGCCACGTGCTCAAAATTTGCAACCATTTCACACACGTGGTAACCCCTTATTGGATGAGTAACTCAAGTTTTGAGCACAGGGTAGGCAAGCACTAGTTGGCCGAGCCACACTAGGTATAGTGAAATGATTTCAAGAAGGAATCTCTCTTTCTAAAGAGATACTAATATAAAAATGAACTGAAAATTACAATACCAATTGAACATATGAAGGGTGCATATCTACTCAGAGCCACTTAAGTGAGGGTGATGCACCCAAACAAAGCCTGTTGATTAGCATTTGGAGTCGCTTGGCCAATTAGTGCTTGTTTGGCACGCGGTCAAAACGTGAGTTCCCATCCAATGAAGGATTACCAAATGTGTGAAATGAATGCAAGAGAACATCTCCCTCTCATTTGGCAATTTAGTGACTGAATTTGTAAATAAAAAGATAAGGAAACCATTCAACGCCAAGTTGTAAACCTTTTTTTGGTCGAAAATCAATTCATTAAAAACTAGTAAAAGGTACAATTTTGAACCAAAGGATTAAGGGAAATCAGCAACAAGAAAAGAATGCTCTTCATCCCTGTTTTATCATACATGGGTCTAACAGATAAAGCAGTTGCAGCAGCAAGCCCAGACACAATGGTGTTTTGAAAATTCACTCTCGTGTAAGAGTCGAATATGGGATGGGATGCTACACTGCCAACAATCGGATGCTTGTCTAGCATTCTCTCCAACCTCATAGTGATATCCACCTAAGAAGATACTCGGTTCGGTACGCTAAAAGCTAAAATGAGAAAGTTTTAAAGTGAGTATTTATGTATTAAACTAAAAGTTATGTGTATTATAAGCCAATTTCACAAATGAATCTTGTCTTCTCTTGTTTCCTTTATATGGCCAATCCTTCTCGAGGATAACACCATTAGCCTTCGTGAGTTCGAAAGACTTGGGAGTATACTCGATCGTTGTGAACTCGAAGACGTCTCATTTTGCGAAGAGAGCACAATTTGTCTCCATGTCTCTAAAGCATGCAGTGCCTCGACGCATATGAATATAGCCAAACAATGAGGACTAACCTCCTGGTTGTTGATGGGACCCATAATAGGCGTCCAGTCCACAACATATTCTCTGCTAGTGTCCTGCAAAAATCCATTTTGTTGTCCACCCAATCAGACTTAATAATATCATGTATAAACCATGATTCCCTTCAATATAATTCGTCTCCATATGTACACAAATACAAATTGGTTGGTAAAAGTCACACAAAAAATGCCACTCGTACTCATATTGGACACAACATTGCTCAACTTTTATCACAATAATTTTAATAAAAGTCCCGGTTTGAAACTCCTCCTAAATTATTGTAATGCATATCCGTGTTTTACAATAATTTTAATAAAAGTTGAGCAATGTCGTGTCCAATGAAATAAAATAATTATGTTACTTGTGCAACAACACGTTACTTTTTTTTTTTTAAACACATGATATTATCTACACTAGAGTAGAGAAGTAGGTTAAGCCTCATACTGGGCTAACCATAATAACATGGTTCAAATTCACCTTTGGCGAGAACCGAACCTAAGACCTCTCACTTACAAGTGGGGAGGAATACCACTAGACTTTAGTACTAAGTGACTACGACATGTCACATTTTTTTTTTTTGAACAAACGATATTATCCACACTAAAAGGGAGGAGATGGACTTAGTCTTACAATGGACTAACAATAATATGGTTCAAATTTGCTTTTGACAAGAATCGAACCTAAGACATCTCACTCGCACATCACATTTTAAGTGGACATAAAATTAACAAATGAACAAAAGAAGAAAATACTTTTATTTTTGTATTGTTAAACAGTAATCATTTTTTTATTATTATTAGAGAGGGGTAGTCCGGAATTATTAATAATAATTTAGGAGGAATTTCAAACCAGAGCGCATAGGTAGAAACCCAACACTTATCATCTAGTACATTAAACCTCATGCACCACTACTAAGAATTATATGAAAATTTACGAAATCATAAATAACTGTTGTGACATATGTTCTTATCAATATGTGATTGTGTAAATCTTAAGTAGAGATAAAGTAAGAATCCTTTGAGATCTAGAAGATCTTTCCTAATATACTTTGTATTACTTGAAGATCAAGTTTCTCTTCTCCTTATGACTAGGGAATTAACACACAATTCCTCAAATCTATTCTTCAATCTTTCTCTTCTCTTTGCCGCACCTCTTTACTAAATACAGGCCACAACAATAACAAAATATCAGTAAATAATACTCACCGGTGTCCCCTTGATGACGCTGACGTTTTTTTCTTTCCTACCCCTTCCATTCCAAAAAGCAAAAGGGTTGTTGATGTCGTTTCAGATTTAACAATGTTACTCCAAATATAAGCCTTCTTTTCTTTTTCATTTTTGTAAATATAAGCCTTCTTAGATCCTGGCATATAAAAAATTGTAAATATAAGCCTTCTTAGATCCTTGCATAAAAAAAAACCTGCAGCTGATGTTAAACAAAAATTTAAACAAATAATAAATAGAAAATTAAGAAGCAAAAAGCATTAACATTTGAATAACATAAAAGGGTATGAGTCTTGCTATTCATTTTGACGATCTGTGATGACCAAATAGTCACAAAATCTAATCCTCGTAGGTTGTCAAATTGAAGACCTTAGGAGAGTAGGACTGAAAATGAAATGAAGAAAATCAACGGTAAAAAATTAGTAAGAGTGTGAAAGGTAAAAATTGGTGTGTAGATTACACTTTCCTAACATAGATTAACGAAAAAAGGAAAGAATTTGAAAAACTGAGAAGCAAAAATGTTCAAATTACATTCGTTTTCAAATAGAAAATTATCATCTCTTTGGATTGAAATTTGATTGGATTTGGATCTAAAAATAAATACCAACAGATGGATTGAGGATGAGGGATCGGGAATCGGGGATGGGGTAAATCATTGGCTAAAGGGAAAGCATATCATCATCATATATCTCATTGGTTTCCTGTTGCTTCGTCTCTGGCCACAATTGCTTGGGAGAAGAATTCAAGGGGGGAAGACGGCGGAGAAGAGCAATTAAGGGAGGAGAAGAAAAACTATGAGGAGGACAGGAAGAATTAAGGGCTGCGGAGAAGGCAGAAAAGCTAGAGCTATTTTATGGTTGGTAGGATGTTATAAATTAGGTTTGGGAAAGACTTTAAATTTGGTGTGTGAGCTTCAAGTTGAGGTGGGGTTTATATGGAGAAAGAAAATGAAAGGAATAGGTTGCAGATAATATCATGTGGTATGGCGTGATTTGTTGAAAATTTATTCATAAGAATTAAGAACGGATAGCTACACGTGGCGTGACTTGGTTTGTAAAAAATTTATCGAAAATCTATTAACAAAATTCTAGCTTGCAGGATCATGACATGTGTCATTACAAGATTGGGTAAAATCTAATAAAATTTTTATATACAAAAAATTGTAATTTCGAATAAAAACATGTGGTGTGACGGGAGTGGTTAAAAATTCTATTCAAAATTAAACATAATATTATCTTCTTATTATTTAAAAAATATATAATTTATGCTAATTATCCAGGCAATTTGTTTACGGGGTGGAGATGCACTCGATTAATTACTATTTATTTAGGCAATAATTGTATATTTCCCAATTGCCCTTTACCACAATTGTTACATCCCACATCGTAAGGGGAGTGGATCATGTAAGCCTTATATGTATATTCTCATCTCTACCTAGCACGAGGCCTTTTGGGAACTCACTAACTTCGGGTTCCATTGGAACTCCGAAGTTAAGCAAGTTCGCGCGAGAGCAATCTTAGGATAGATGACCTCCTGAGAAGTTCTCATCTGAGTTCCCAGAAACAAAACTGTGAGGGTGTGGTCGGGGCCCAGAGTGGACAATATTGTGTTACGGTGGAGTCGAGCCTAGGATGTGGTGGGGGCTCGGGGCGAGATGTGACAATTTGGTATCAGAGCCAATCCCTGGTCAGGGTGTGTCGACGAGGATGTCGGGCCCTTAAGGGGGGTGGGTTGTTACATCCCACATCGCCCAAGGGAGTGATTCTTGTAAGTCTTATATGTATATTCCTATCTCTACCAAGCACAAGGCACGAGGCCTTTTGGGAACTCACTGGCTTCGGGTTCCATCGAAACTTTGAAGTTAAGCGATTTCGCGTGAGAGCAATCCCAGGATGGGTGATCCACTGGGAAGTTCTCGTGTGAGTTCCTAGAAACAAAACCGTGAGGGCGTGGTCGGGGTCCAAAGCGGGCAATATCGTGATACGGTGGAGTCGAACCCGAGATGTGGTGGGGGCCTAGGACAGGATGTGACAACAATGATGGAAAAGAGTTGAGCTATTGCATGATGGCGTGGGTTCGAATCCCGTCAGTGGCTAGTCTAATATTAATCTAACAAAATATTTCGTTTGACAAAAAAAAAAAAAAAATTGCCTGGACAATTATTGTCTTTAAGAGGTGATTGAACTTGCTTTAAGAAAGAAGAGAAAAATAGCTTCTCAAACCCAACAATCTTTTGCTACCTCACTACCAAAAATATCTTTATAACTTGTCCTCTCTACTAACTCACGGGCTTGCACATTATTGATTTACTGTCACGTGATGTTCTGTAACAATAATATAAAAATATGTGTCGCCTTTTTCACATATCCTTGTTTTATTAATACAGAACGTCACGTAGTGCCATAAAAATTGTATCCACTTTCTATTTGGTGCCAATCCGCATTAACAAAGGCCCCATCAATTTATGGTATTCAACAAGCCAACATAGTAACCATAACAAGTGGCCCAATGGTAAGGATGTAGACTGCGAATCCTCGATAAACAAAAAAAAAATGTGGGAGCTTTCGAGTTTGATGCTCCGAACTGGTGAGTCTGCTTGATCGTGGTCACGGGTAGAATGAAATTCCCCATAGCCTCCTCCGGGCTCGAAAAGAGTGGATAACCGTAGCTTGCCACCAGTTATTCCTCTTTTTAAAAAGGAAAAAAAACCAACATAATGGCCGCTAGCAACCCCCAAGTAAAAATGACGTGAACGTGTTGAGACTTGAGATTGAATTTCACATCATGAAAATGAGAGATTTTGTATTAGCTTATAAGTTTGTTGGCTTCTTTCTATATTTTTAATTAGTTCAACTTCTTCAAAATGAATCCTTCGTTAATCTAAACTACATATTAATAAAACACTATTTGACAAGCAAAAGAGGATGAAAAGATTATTTAGTCATCTATCACAACAAAAAAGTTAAGGATAGTAACGTAATTTCATAAAATAAAATTTTGTTGTTTTTTTGTTTAAGCATCACCTACAGGTGATTTTAACATCTCTAATTTTAAAAAATTAAAAAAAAAAAACTTATCTCCCTATCTTTCCACTCCCACGTTCTCCCTTACTCTCTTCCTATCTCCTTCAATTTAAAAAACAAAAATAAAACACTTCACACACATTTTGTATGTGGGCATATACTAGTACCAATAATAGTTGAGGTATTTGTTGATTTGCCCCCTGAACTTATATAGAGTTGCCAATTTCCCCCTTAACTTTAATTTTAGCCGATTACTCCCTTGAACTTTAATTTTAGCCGATTACCCCCTAAAATTTTATAAATAGCCAATTCCCCCCTTGTCGTTAGATTTTAAAAACTTTCGTTCAATTTTTCATTCTTTTTTCTCTCATATAGTTGTTTCTATGATCAAGATAGATGGAAAATTGGATGAAATTTTTTAAAATCTAAACACTGGGAAAGGAGAGAAATTGGCTATCTATAAAAGTTCAGTGGGGTAATCGGCTAAAATTAAAGTTAAAGGAGGAAATTTGATAATTATAAAAATTCAAGAGAGTTATCGGTTAAAATTAAAATTTAGGATGAAAATTAACAGTTTTATACAAGTTCAAGAGGCAAAACGACAAATATTCCGTAATAATTATCTACCATCAGTAAATCAATTACAAGAGAGCCTACCTATTCCTCCACATTTTGGGCTAAAATCCATACTTGGGCTTCAGCCAACATGAGAAAACGCAATCGGTTAGGACTGACTTCTCTTCCCGCTACTCGTAACAACGGAAGTAAACATTTTGACCTTGCAGCTCACCAACAATGGCAGAAACGGAGGAACCCACAATACCCTTTAAGAATCTGAGTAGCAGAGAGTACCAGGGCCACAAGAAGAAGGTCCCCCCTCTCTCTCTCTCTCTCTCTCTCTCTCCAAATTTCGTTATCCAGTTGCAATCTCCACAAAACCCTAAAACCTCTTGCTCTCTGTTTTCAATTTGCTAAATTTGTTCGTTTCGTTGTGGTAAAGGTGCATTCTGTGGCTTGGAACTGCACGGGGACGAAGCTCGCGTCGGGTTCTGTTGATCAAACCGCTAGGGTTTGGCACATTGAGCCCCATGGACATGTAAAGCTCAGCTCTTTCCAGTTAATTTATTCATATTTCCAATAAATTAACTGTTTTTTCTGAGTTGTTTATATGTTAATATATATTTATATATCTGTTTATATATGTTGCAGGGTAAGGCTAAAGATATTGAATTGAAGGGGCACACAGATAGTGTGGATCAGCTGTGTTGGGACCCCAAGCATGCTGATTTGATTGCCACTGCCTCTGGGGACAAGACGGTTCGTCTTTGGGACGCTCGGAGTAAGTCATTGCTATTTCAAGTTTTGATTTTTATGTTTTTAGGTACAAAGATGGGAATTTGATGTTATCCCTATGTGGGTGCTTCAGGTGGAAAATGTGCACAGCTAGCAGAACTTAGCGGGGAGAACATCAATATCACCTATAAACCTGATGGGACACACATCGCCGTTGGTAATAGGGTAATGTTTACTTGTTCTGAACCTCTATTCCACGAGTATGTACAGTTGCTGGTTCAGTAACTTCATTTTGTGGAATTCTGAGTGGTGGTATCAGTAGCTAATAGCTATGTATTGCTGTTTTTTCGCTCCTCGTTCAAATGTAGGATGATGAACTAACAATTTTGGATGTTCGGAAGTTTAAGCCAATTCACAAACGAAAGTTCAATTATGAGGTAATTATCAAAAGGGACACGTTTTTTTATTCCCTCTTGTATTGCATGTTCCGTATAATGCTTAGACTATTAATGTCTCATCAGCATGAGGCAATTGGAAAAACCTTGATGCCTAACCTTGAGAAGTCATTCAATTTCCTTATGATCTTCAAATATAATCTTAGAAACTGACCTTAATAGCATATGCTTGTAGAACACAGATGTCAAGATCTATTAGTCCGCATATTTAATGTTCATATCTCCTCTCTTTTCATGCTGGTGTTGAAGGCGTAAAATTTATGAAATAATCAACACAAATTCGTTCTTTTTCATTGACCATCAGTGCTTTGAATCTACTGTTCTGTGTCCACATGATTATGTTTTCAATGATTTTTGCAAGTAGAGCCACTAACGTAAGTAGTATGATTGCTTCATAGTTGTGGAAACATGTGTAACTTATCTGTAGATCATTCGGCATGTTGCTTCATCCTAGTACAAGGGATACCATCAAATCCTGTTTTTAGCATCTGTCTCTGCACCTCAAATACTTATTGGGCAGTCTTCTGCTTTTCCAGGTTAATGAAATTGCTTGGAGCACAACAAGTGAAATTTTCTTCTTGACAACTGGAAACGGTGAGAATAACTTTCTGCAAGTAATCTCTTTTCTTTCTATACGTTGAAGTTCGGAATGGATATTTTATTATATATTCTTTTGCTCAGGTACGGTTGAAGTACTAGCATACCCATCTCTTAAACCGGTCGACACTCTCATGGCTCATACAGCTGGTTGTTATTGCATTGCCATTGACCCACTTGGAAGGTTTGCTAAAAAGATCTATTATTTTTTAATTTGTTTAAGAAAGAAAAAAAATGCCTTTTGATGTCATGTGGGCTATTATTTTCCTACATTAGTTGGTACTACCTATCTAACTCCACCATCATCGATTGAAAATATGCTCTTGCGATATCACATGAAGACCTTCTTTTACTGCTGCCTTATACTCTTTCTAATGCTCTTGTCCCATGACAGATATTTTGCTGTTGGGAGTGCTGATTCCTTGGTCAGCCTGTGGGATATCTCAGAGATGCTGTGTGTGAAAACATTTCCAAAACTTGAGTAAGTTCTACCCTGTATTGCCTCTAAATTAATTATTACTTTAAATTCTGCAGTTATTGAACAACTAGTTTGTTGGGTAGACTTTTATCATCAGCATTCCGGAACCGTAAAACTTGAATGACCTCCTTTTGTACCTTTTTCAGATCACCTGTGAGGACAATAAGCTTCAACCACACTGGAGAGTATCTTGCGTCTGCCAGTGAAGACTTATTCATTGACATAGTAAGTGCTTTATGTGGCTTACCACTCCTAGCTTTTATCTTTTCAAGTACGTTCTCCCTATGGGAGGATGTCTTGTTACAAGGACTACCGCCTATTCATCACCTGTACAGTGACTTTGTTAAAAAATAGTAATAATGATGATTTGCTGCTGTCTAAAACAGTCAAATGTTCAAACCGGGCGGACAGTACATCAGATTCCATGTAGGGCAGCCATGAACAGCGTTGAGTGGAATCCCAAATCCAATCTACTTGCATATGCTGGAGATGACAAGAACAAATATCAAACTGATGAAGGTCTTGCCGTTTCTTCTCCCACTAAGCTCATTCATATACACAAGACAAATTTAACTGATGTGTGTTTGGTTTCCTTAATTTGTTGCAGGTGTTTTTAGGATATTTGGCTTCAAAAGTGCAACCTAAATTATGCGCTTCTCTTTTGGCCTGTAATTGGGGCAGTTGTGCATGTTACGCGACTGTTGTGGTTCTGAACTTACATTATGTTCAAAAAACGAGTATGCTGATAGTTCTATTTTCAAGACGAAGTGCAGCCACTGGTATGACTGTCCAATTCTGTTTGTACTATTTATTCTCAACACGAGGCTGAGCAGGTTTTTGCCCCATTTTTCTGTTTGGCTTGTACTATTTATTTGAAACCTTCATATTGTTGAAAACAAGTATCGCGTGATGTTGATTTCTATTGAGAGTATTGATAATTTTATTTTCGATAAAAGGTGTTTGTAGTATGACTGTATGACACAATTGTATTTCTGTATAAACAAGAACAATTTCATTGGATGAATTATGATATATAATCACATGTACAAAGAGAGGAGAGCTTTAGCAGTGTGCCCTTGATCTGGCTGGAAGTATTAGATTTTTGCGAACCCTACACATATAATTTCGTTGTTTGAGTGAATGCAGGCTTCAAAGGTAGTGTAGGAGATAAAATGTCTGTTTCCGCTTATCATCTCGAATGATCAGAACATGAAAAGAGAGTATAATTTGGTTGTTCGAATGTGTCTGGCTAGTAAGCGGACCAAAGATGCTTCATCCCCCCTTCTCCTTTTGGACATTGAAGAAAAGGATGATTCAGCAGCAGCAAAACATTTGGATTACCATGACAGATTATCTGATACTAAAGGCTTCTTAAAAGTTGAATGAAGACTTCAATCAGATCACCGTTGAATGAAGACTCCAATCAGATCACCAGTGACTGGTTGACGGAAATAGTTGAGCAATGGCCAGGAGATTGATGGAAGAACCTGGCTGAAGTCAGCTGTGTTCAGCTCCGCTGGTTGGCTGGTTTGAAGGATTGTTTTCTGCAGGCTTCCCAAGCATTGGATGGAGACTTCGATCAGATCACCGTGACTCGCATTGAATGAAGACTCTGATCAGATCACCGGTGACTGCTTGACGGAAAGAGTTGAGCAATGGCCCGGAGATTGATGGAGAACCCGGCTGAAGTCAGCTGTGTTCAGCTCCGCTGGTTGGCTGGTTTGAAGGATTGCTTTCTGCCTCCTGTCTTTCCCTTCCAGCTTCTGCTACATCTTGAATGCTACCATTCTCAGCTTCAGCAAACTTTTCCAAGCATCTTCATAATCCACAGAGCATGAATTTCGAAACAGGAAACACCAAACCTGCAAAGCAAACAAGGCAGATGGTAATCAGATACTGAGAGCACCAAGTCAGTGGCTTCCATTTGATCTCAACGCTCGAGCTCTTCATCCTCTACCCGCTTTGCTGCTCCTTCGACAAATCGAAGCTCGCCCCCTTCATCCTCAGCTCTTGAATACACCTAGTGAGTGCTCGGTTCACGCTCTTGTCCCTCTGCAACTGGTTCCACACCTTCCAGTACCTCCAAAGATTCACCTGCACCAAAAACACAAACACAAAAGAGGTCGAGAGCGACAGAACGCTTGGTATCCACCATTTTTTACAGACTTGGTGGTCTTCCGATTTGTAAACCGATGGGCTTAGATAGTAGTTTGGGTCAAATATTGGAAGCACTTGCTCTAATATTATACGAGGCAATGATCGGAAGTCAGAACTTGCCCCTAAAAACCGACTCGTAAGAGAATAAAGCTCAATAGATCGAATACAATACAACTTAGACTAATTCTCTACGGCGAAACATCGGTTCCTACTATGTTGCTTGTCTGTTTTCGTGGCCGACAAACGACACATGATTACGGTGGAGTAAAATTTGTTCTTAATTGCCTAAAACAAGTGAAGTGATTGTGTCTCAATTAGTTAAAAGTGATCACCTTTTGTTTTTGAAATTTCTTGTTCGAATCCGCGCTTCTTCAATATCGCTTGTAATAACAATTGCATAAACAAAATTGCAAGTTTTCAACAACCAAAATTGCGATTGGTGTGACCAAAACATCAAGCTAGGATGTCCATCGAATCCCCCTATGATTCCATTGGATCAAAATCCAATTTATCAAGTCACTTTTCCATACTCCAACAACTAAAAAGAAGTCTTATCCTATTAAATGAAGTCAGCTATATAAATTCTAGAATGTCATTGTAATTAGTTTTGGGTCTAATCTTAAGGTTGGTGCCAAGTTGCTTTTCTGTACTCCAATGTTACCAAATACCCCCCCTAAGTTATATGGAAAAGGATCCTCGCTGGATCCTTTTCTTAGTGATCTTAGGGATTCTGTGATCGTGACTGTTCAACGTACATCGTGCGGTCAAAAATCATTTCAAAATTTAAATTTTAAAATTAAATATGAATAGTACCTAACGAAAACTGACCACACGATATATAATGAACGGTCACAATCATAGGATTCTTAGAATCCTCAAGAAAAGGATACAGCGATGATTCTTTTCCAAGTTATACGAATGAACCATTTGAGAAATTAATATCTAAAAAATTGTACATATTTAACTTTTAAATAAGTGGAGGGTACGTGCAAAATTGCATTACAAGACCTTATTGCCTTGATCGTGGCACGCAATTTGGCCACTGAAATACTCTTTTCTTTGTTTTGTCTTGTAATGTAGTCGGTCAATACATAACACGCAAAAAGAGACAAGATTGTCTGCCCTCCCATTTTCGATGCATTTCTATGCTCTTCTTTTTTGTGTGATCACGGTTAAGCCACGTTAATATTTTATATTGTTTTTTTATAGAGATAATAAGACAAAAATGAATAGTAATATAAAATGTTAACGTGACTTAACTGTGACCACACAAACAGGAGAGTACGGAAGGGCATCGGAAGTGGGAAGGCGGATAATCATTTTCCCGCAAAAAGTGCCCCAAAATCCATGTAGTCGGTCAATAAAACAAATCACACTCATTCAACAATAGTTTATACATTAAGAATGCAGACTACCACGGTACAACCCAATTGTTGAGCGGCATAAGTATTCCAAAAAAATTGCATAAAAAAACAAAAAGATAAAAACTTGTGGAGAAAAGCATATGTGAGATGACTTTTGTACAATCAATATCACTTCTTTTAAACTATACAAAATCCCTAAGCCCTAATCGTTTGGATTGAAATTAATTGTTTGATATAGCCAACGAGAGTTGGTTAAGTTTGGAAGGCTCGACTGGATTGTTATTTTCGTTAGATCAAAATCTAAGTTCGAGTTTCGTTATTGGTAATCCGTTGAGTGATCCGTAAAAAACTGAAAAAAAATGAGCTAAGATCGAAAGTTTTCAAAGAGATATAGTATGCTATGGTCCTGTAATAAAGAAATCTCTTTTCCTCAAAAAAAAAAGAAAAAAAAAAGAAAAAAAAAAGCCCTTTCAATATTCCCAATGACCAAAATTGGGTCATAGAGTGTCTCAGAGTCAAATTCAATATTCTGTACTATACTATATTAAGTCGAAAATTGAGTAATATAATATCCCAAATAGAATTATTTCAAAAAAAAAATCAATACTCTATACTGTATTTATAGTTGGAATGTTAAGTAATTTAATAACTTTTAATGGAAAATATTTCATTGTAATATTCCATTTAAGATTTAGGTTCTCTTTTTAGAACACATAAATCTCTTTTCAAAAGTTAAATTAAAATATTGATGTGTTTATCAAACAAAGCATTTTAACGCATTTTTCGTACTGTTGTTTTAATTTGATTTATTCATTTTGAATCTTTGATGGTTAAAAAATGAACATGAATTACCAAGCACAAAGTCAATAAAAAAGTGAACAAAAACACCCTCCCCGGTAGCCAGTCTTCCCACAGGGCAGAAAGAAAATCCCAATCCGTCTCCCTCAGCTATCTCTCAATTTCCCGACTTTCTTGTTCAGAAAGAAAGGCTGAAAACCCAAAGTCTTCAAATGCTCTCACTATAAATCCCTACACACTCTAACAGCTTTTGCTCTCCCAAATTCATTTCCCTTTCTCATTCGGATCACCAATCGCAGAGCAAATCCTGCAAAAGTATGCATCTCTACAATGCATGGCTGCCGCCACCGGTGGCCGAGGAGTCGAAGAAAGAGAAGGAGTCCTTCTTCTGGGTTGTCTCCTCCGTCAAGAACTCGTACAAACCCGACGACCCAGAATCCGTCTATGCTACTCTCAAATGGGTTTCTGTTATCGACCTGTGAGTTCCCTCAATTTACTCTCTTTCTGTATATTTTCGTTAAATTTATGGTTTTTCGGAACTATTTTCTTGTTTTGCTGTTGGGTTTGCTTTAAATTCTGCTTATTTAAATTGGTTTTTTGTTAAATTTGAAAATCCGAATTACTTATGTTCATCATTTCAATAATATACTCGAGCTTTGTAAGCAATGAATGTGTTAGTGTTACTGTACTTAAATCATATTGAAGTTGCCAAGTTGGATGTATAATTTGTTATGCAGTTTCGTCAAGGCGAAAAGTGAAGTATCCTTGGAAGATGTAACTGCCCTTGTTGAATTTGGATTGGAATTGTTTTATGTATCGCAAAATAAGCTTTATGCCCAGGTATTACTTTGTATAGCTGATTTTTACTTAAATTCATTATTCGTTGACATGCTTGTCGTCGTTATTCTTAAATGTGGGTTCTATATGTATTGATTAGGTTAGATGGGGAAACATCCTAGTCAAACTACTCAATAAGCATCGAAAGAAGTTGTCTTTGAAATTAAAATGGCGGCCTTTGTACGATACATTGATCCATACACATTTCACTAGGTGAGCTTATACATTCACCTTCAAATATACTGCCTTTTTCATACATAGTTTTATTAATTTATTGCTTGTTCTTAATTCATAAGGATTTTATTATAGATGCCAGTAGAAAATATTAAGATAAGACTGTATATTTTGTAAACAGGACAAATTTATGTACATACGTTCATGATTCATTGTGAATGCAATCAAACTGTGGTTTTGAAAAAAAAGGTGTTCTTAAATACTGAAGCCAATGACTTCAAGGAAGGATGAAGGAAGATGATAACCAATCAAACTTCAAGTGCTTAATTGTATGCAGTGTATAACCTGACATCTGGCTTTAATAATGCTGTATAGTTCTTGTTATTGTCTCTTTTGAAATATTTCGCTTGAGTACTACCTTTATGTGATGCAACCAACTCCTCCATTAAATTGGTATAGCATTTTACGCATAGACAACTTTTGAGGAACTTCATATATTGATACATGTTACAGGAATACAGGTCCAGAAGGCTGGAGATTGAGACAACGGCATTTTGAGGCTACTACTTCTCTTGTTCGGTCCTGCCGGAAGTTCTTCCCACCAGGATCTGCCTTTGAGATATGGTCTGAGTTTAGGTAAGTACTTTGTGGCCCTTTTGCCTTGAATTTGTTAGTTGGACTGGGATGCATGATGCCATTTCTGGGTTTTAGCCTCCATCCAACTCTAGGATGTTTGACACACTATTGATATTTCATCAGGTCAAAAGGATTAAAATACTGTTCCACATGGTCCAAGTCACTTTTGCATCAATTTTTTTTTCAGTTTTTGTTTTTGTTTTTTAAAATTTTTTTTATGTTTTCATTTACATAGATAGATACACACATGCCTGCACATTCACGTTTAATACACTACAAGATAGGTGATTACAGTTGAACTCTTAATTGTTCCACTCACTCCCTCATTGTTGTTTCTATTTGTTTAATGAAACAAATTGTGCAGATCTTTATTGGAAAATCCCTGGCATAATTCATCCTTTGAGGGATCCGGGTTTGTTAGACTGTTTCTTCCTACAAACTTGGACAACCAGGACTTCTTCTCGCAGTAAGGAGCACATATATCTCATGTTCTTTATGGTTTTCAAAATGATTTGTTGTGGCAAGTCACCTTGTATTCTTGTATTGCAGCGATTGGATTAAAGAGTTTTTCCGCCTTTGGGACTCGATACCGAATTGCCAATTTTGGAACAGTCAATGGGCAGCTGTTATAGCTCGTGTTGTAAAGAACTACAAGTTGATTGATTGGGAATGTTACTTGCCCACACTTTTCACTAGATACTTAAATATGTTTGAGGTGAGTGAATAAGCCCTTCAAGGAAGCTTGAATTTGTATTGAGTTAGGTTGCTTGCATTTTCCTTGATGTTTGAATCATGCCGCTGAACATAATTTGCTACTTTCCAAAGCTTGTCATAATCGAAGTACAATCAAATCTGTACTGATCTCTGCTATACTATTATTGATAATTATACTGTGACTTGGCTTGTAAAGATAAACTTGTTAAAAAGTGTATTGAATATATTATAAGTTTAAATGGTTCATCTTTTATTTTAAGGTTCCTGTGGCAAATGGAGGTGGGTCATATCCTTTCTCTGTGGATGTTCCAAGAAACACAAGATTCTTGTTCTCCAATAAAACAGTTACCCCAGCAAGGGCCATCGCAAAGTCCATTGTGAGTTTATATGCCATACACAACATTTTGCATTAAATGAATTTGTCCCTATATAAGCTTCCTTGATAGTAGAATGAGATATATTATGACTGAAATTGCAGGTCAATTTGCTAAGGCCTGGTAGCTCAGCACAGCAGCATTTTGAAAAATTGGTCAACCTCTTAGAACAGTTTGTATACTCAAATACTCAATTTTAATTCTCTTTTTCTCTGTTATATTGTTTAACAGCATGTCGCTTGTTCTGGGGATCTATTATCGAGTTTTTACCGGTATTCATTTTTGTAGGTATTACCATCCTTCTAATGGTGGTCGCTGGACTTATGCATTAGAACGTTTTTTGCTCTATTTGGTAATTACATTCCAGAAACGCTTACAGCA